TAGCTCCTTCCCAATAGACTATGTTGCAAATTTTGTGAGAAAAAGATGCATCCAGAAACTAAAATTTGTTTCCTTGTAAGCCATCCTTATCTAACATTAACGTTTTAGAAATAATTAATCAATGCTGTAGTTTGCCCTTGGCAGAAAGGGATCACCTTGTGGGGGCCATCTGTTTGCAAATGCTGCATCTCGGTTTTTAGCCCTTGCTCAAAGCTAAGAACAGTGTTTAATATTTTAGGTACATGACAAAAGAAGACATTGCCAGAGCTTCGCTAACAAAAGCTGACAGCAGTGGCGGTAGCGTTCGTATAATCACCAAAACATCCAGAGAAGTTATAAGAGCTCATGGATCTTCTGTTGGAAAAGACGACCATTTTATAAAGTAAGTTTAGTTGTGCTTGAGAGAAGAAAATAGACACACTGTATGACATTCTAATAAAGCGCTTTTTCTTTTCTGTTCAATTGTGTCCAGTTCTCAGAGAATGCCTGGGCAGGTCCCTGCAGTTTTCTTGGCTAGACTTTTCAAAAGTGGTTTGCCATTGCCTCCTTCCAAAAGCCGTCAGAAAGTGACTGGCCAATATCATCCATCTGGCTTTGTGCCTAAAGCAGAACTAGAATTCATAGTCTCCCAGTTTTTAGCCTGATGCCTTAATCCATACACCAGATTGGCTCTCTAATAAAGCACTTAGATCTGTGAGTGAGATACAGCTATATTAAAGAAAATAAGCTGAAAGTTATACACAAAAACATTGAAAGTATTTTCAGAGAAGCAATTTGTGGTGTCTCTTGGAGCCCTCATCTGATAAAATGAAGTACTAGCACACTGCATTTTTTAGCGGCAATGCTATCAGTTAGAAAATACCTTCCTATGAGAAACTTTCCTGATGTCTGTTATATTTTCAGCACGTGATGAACATGTTTCTGATCCCTCTGGTATTTAAACTTCAGTAGACATTTTTGATTCTGGTATTCAGCCTGCAGTTGACAACAACATTGGATATGTTACCTCTTTTTGGTAAAAACAACAACAACAAAAACTAGCCAACTGACTTGGGCAATTTGTCTTTAAAAAACTAGAATAACAGTTGTTGTGTTCTTTGGTAACAGGATCATCAGCTATCATAACCTTTCTCTTTCTGACTTCTTTGTACAGGAAAACATTTTTGGCCTCTTGTCTTTTCTATTCAGTTGATCCTTTGCTGATTTTCTGCAGGAGCCTTGTATTGTAATGTCTTTTTGTAGATCAAATTTAACTTGGATTCAATCTGCCTAGAAATCGGTATTCTGTTAGAAAACATGTGTAAAATAAGGCTTTAGTTAAAGAGTTATTTGATTGAATCATTCCTTGCTATACTGTGATAAGCTTTGTACAGCATAAACATGCAACATTTTAAAGGATGAGCGCTACGCTTGATTTTCAAAGGGCATGTTAGGAACGCCATAAATATAAGCAAAGACAAAGAATGAATATATTCTAGTCCAAAATAAAAAATGCTTAGATTTAATTAAATAGGGGTATATGGATATTTAATAATTTATGTTCTCCCATTTCACAATTAAAAAATACATTTTGGCAGGAAACCTGAGGATTTTTCCAAAGGCAGCCAACATAATATGTGAATCATTGTCTATTTCTAGATTTTATAACTTGCTTGGGACCATCTTCAGTAATGGTGATGTTGTTATCCGTTCAGTCGAATCTGGCTCTTGGCAATTTTGTAGGCCAGGTCTCCACATCTTCTGATCTTGCGCTATTTCTTTGAGTTGTTCTGTGCTCCGCCAGCTTTGATGGTGTCCAGTCACTGTTCTTTGGCAGCCTGGTTTCCTTTTGCTGCTAACTTTTCCAAACGTAATTGCTTTCTCCAGTGAATGGCACATCATTGAAAGAGGTTGGCACAAATATTTCAATCTGAGGAGGTTGCAATTTAACTAATGTTTTCAGTCTTTTTTTGGGAGGGGGGGCAGATATTGATAGGGTCATAATGGGAGATAGGAGGTACAGCATCCATTTTCTTACTTAAATCCATTGGCCCTTCTTTGTGCATTTATTGTTCAACCATTTTGTTACTAAATTCCAGACTCATAATCTGGGGCTGCTCAAATGAGATGACGGAGTAGATTGGTCTGCAGATTGCTTACTCCTGTCCCAGTGAAACAGTGGAATACAAACGTAGAAACATAATCTAGGCATTTATTCATTTATTTATGGTATTATCGTTTCTGTTTTAGGTTGCCTTCAGAAGATGGGAGTTGCCCAGATGCCAGTTTAATTTCTGACCAGATTGTTGCTGTTGAGGAATGTTCATCAAGCAAAGGCTATTTACAGGCGGTCGATAATGAGGGGAACCCACTTTGCCTAAGCTGCCAAAAGCCAACAATCCAAGTTGAGCCAAACTCAACATATACCGCCTGGGACACACGATTCTGTTCTCTTAAATGCCAGGAAGATTTCTTCTTCTACACCAATAATAGTTACCTGAGAACTAAAGTTTTTGAAATAGAACATGGGGTTTGCCAGTTATGTGGGTGGAATGCCCAAGAACTCTACCTTTGTCTCAGAGATGCCCCAAGGAGTCAGCGCAAGGATCTTTTGGAGAAGTCTTGTATGTCCAAACTTCCTTTCAAACAGGTGAAATATATTGCTGGAGTACAGGAAATTGTTCTATGATGGATGGACGGTTTTAAAATATAGGGGAACTTTTAAAAAAAAGTATTTTGGAAGAAGCCATTTGATTCCTTTCTGATACTCATTAAAAGAAGCCTTTTTTCAGGCTTCCAAAAACCCCGGAAGTAAGTTGCGGTTGCTTGCAGACATCCATACACAAAGGTTAATGCCAATTCCTAAAATAGCCAGTGTTTCCTCTAGGACTGGGGTCTCCAACCTTGGCAACTTTAAGACTTGTGGACTTCAATTCCCAGAGTTCCTCAGGCAGCAAAGCTGGCTGAGGAACTCTGGGAGTTGAAGTCCACAAGTCTCAAAGTTGCCAAGGTTGGAGACCCCTGCTCTAGGGAGCCTTAACTTCCTTCTTTACTTCTTTGAATAAAAAGGACTTGCATGCGTGAAGGTACTTTTTTCTGAATTATTTTCAAAGGCCGAACAATTACTTTAAAACTATTTTCATGCAAAACTGCTATTCATGCAATGAAGTAATTAGACTGCATGGTTATTGGTATGCCGTAAATGTTATGAACATTCATTATCAGGCCTAAGCATTCAAAGAATGAAAATTGTACTATTCAAACAGCTTGTTACTTAGCAAGACTGGCTGCTCTTCGAACACAGCAGATGTAAGCATGGTAACTGTAGTCTTAATCATATTCCTTCGCAAAATGAATTCAATTTATTTTAGCCTTTCAGAGACAATATAGCAGATCAAAACAAGACTAGGAAATATATGTGTAATTTTTTTGTCTTCTCTCAAAAAAAAAGGTAATACTAGAAAATATCAGAATGTATTATTTTATAGATTTTTAATTACCCGTTTTGAGATTATAGCCACAAGTTTTTGATGGCAAAGTTTAGCACTTATCTCATATGAATCTGTGTTTGACACTAACAATATTATCAACTGTGCTAGATTTCATTTCCAACTCATTAGGAAGACATTTGGATCTCCAATATACTTCATTTCCTGTTTTTAGAATGAAGAATGGCTAACTTTTTGAAGACAGGCTAACAATTATATAATTATGATGCATACTTGCTGCTCTTTTATATCAGTTTAAAAATTAAGAACAAAGCTGATTTCCGTGTGTTTGGTCTTCACAAATGTGACTTAGTGATATTTGAATCGACATATAGTTTGTGTTTTCCTCAAATTAGCACGGCTATTATCCTGGAACAATTATTTGAGGCACATAGCCAACTGATTTGACTAAAAACAACAAAAGCATATTGGAAGGACGAGATATATGCATATGACTAATTTTTTGGACATATATGACTGTCACTGATCCTATTTTATTTCAGTTAAATGAAATTATCCTGAACCCAACTGAGGGCCATTTCTGGCAAGTGGATCATATCAAGCCAGTTTTCAGTGGGGGTGGACAGTGTACTCTTGAAAACTTCCAAACACTGTGTACAGTTTGTCACAAGGAGGTAAGTACAGGATGCAGCAGCAAAATTTCATGAACTTTCAACATTAAGAAATGGATTTCGTATGATTTTTTTTCTTTTCTTTTATGTTTTCAGAGAACAGCAAAACAAGCAAAAGAAAGAAGCCAAGTTAAAAAACAATGTGTTGCTTCAAAATATTCATCAGATATCACGAAGTTTTTTGTAAAATTATGAAAAGGTTTGATGAAATGGATGTTGCAGCTCGAATGAGTTGCTATCGATCGTTTCAAATTAAATCTTCAGGCTGATCTATTTTGTAATAGTTCTTAGTACAGCTCATTAAGAAATTTCACACTATGTGAGAAATGTTTAAAAAGCTGTATCTATATACATGTTTTTTCTTTCTAAATTTCAAATTTAGAAAACTGATTATTTTTTACAAATTGTTAGCAAGGTTCATGTAATTGTTTAAACCCTTGATGCTGCAGCATTACTAGTGCATTTTTCTTAACATCTGATCCACAATTGTGGAACTGATTGGACAATAGATCATATAGACTATAATTTGCATAACAATCCTTGCTGTTAAACAAAAGATGTATCTTTTGTAAAATTAAACATGTACATTAGTTCATTTCAAAATAAACTGGCATTTTTACATTAACTTTTTCCTAATTTATATAGTTTGAAAAATACAGAACCCGTTTTCAACATATTAACGTAAAGAGCAAAACTGGTGAGATATGGTTTGTTTATGTGTGTCTGTGTGCGTGTGTCCATCCATCAAGATTAACATTCAAAGCTGGTAGTTGTCCAGCAGGATTTGGTATCATCTGATGCAAGTAGAGGGGTATGATTGCTATATTAACTACCAATAATTTTCCTGACTATTCTGTATCATAAAGCAGAATGATTTAAATAAATACATTGCCAGCCAGGCCACAAGGAAGTGAATTTTATTACATACAATATATTTGTATAGCTGTAAACAATTTAAATCCACTGATTTATTAGGTTTCTAATCTACTCACTTTACATGAGCATAAAACTTACTGGGGAGGCTGGGGAGCAGTATTGCATAATTTAATTTACACTTAATAATACACAGTTCTGCGGTATTTTCATTATCGTTGTAAAGCATTTTTAAAGAGGAATGGATTGCTAAGTAAAGATGAGTAATCCGCCAACATCAATAGACAAGGGGCTTTGATGGAAAAGATAAAAATCCCATAAATGCTATGCATATGAGGACGGTTTCACGTAGGCATTACTCTTGAATGTCATCTTCCTTTCCGGGAGACTGGATAAACATCTCTTTGATGTACTTGCTTGGGTGAAAATGTTGCTAGAGTAGATGTTAAAATCAGAAGAATGTTGTGTCGGATGAGAAGGCACCTGCAAGTCGGAAATCGTCTTTTGTAAGAACACTGTACATCCGCTGAGGCAAAGGTTTAGAGTAAGGAGCAGGCCGTGGAACAGTTGTACGTAAAATAACCTCACGTCCTGCAGGGGGTGGAAAATCCGAACTCATTCCAGAATTCAAACGTTTTTCATCCATAGAGCCTGATCTTTTTAGTTCTTCCTCATAGGGCATCATTGGAGCAACCTAAAAGAAAGAGAAGCCTTTCAGCACTGAGCCATTTTACTGGATTCGTATTTGTTTTTGAGGTACGCTAGCATAAAAACGTAACCGTCGACAACTATTCAGTGTGACAAAGTACAACATTCACTGGGATACAAGCTTAAGGAAAAAGCATTTGTTCTATTGAGTTTCTGCTTAAGAAATTGACTAATGCTGACATAAACACATAAAATATATGTTCTGCACCCACAAGATCTTCTCACTGAAATGCCAAAAGGAGGCTTTAAATGACTTCACACTGATCTGTCCAACAAAGAAAGCAATTTATATTATGAAACAACAGGCATTTGAACACTGATTCAATCAAATGATAAAACTGGGCTGAAATTATTTTGCTCTGACTTTCTCAATGGTGGGATCTGTAACCAGAGAAACCAACTCTAACTAGATCTGGATGTCATCCATTAATCAGACATTTTAATCCATCTATTGTATGCTGATCCTATCACACCTAAATGAAATTTTAAATTGATTAGAGATACTGTGCTTGAACAGAGTTTCTACCCAACTATCAAACTATGAGTCCTGCCGGGTTCAAATTAACTGTCCAACTACTTCACACAACTGTAGTGTACTACTCTGAAAATGAGGGTTTTCTTCTTCTAATATTCAAAAGAGAAGAATTGAAAAAAGAAAAGTTCCATAGAGAAAATAGCTGCAAAGCAAATGGAAAACAGTTTACAATTACATTTGTTCAAGCCAAGTGGACAACCTATAATTTTATGCAAAGTGTATTTTAATGCTATCGCAGTTTGGTGCTTGAAATGCAGACATGTAAGATACAGCTATATTAAACAAGAAAATAAGCTGAAAGTTATACACCAAAAAATCCTTCAAGATTCTAGAAACCCATTTGATGCATCCATTTCAACCATTTCCTTCATACTCTGGTGATGTCAAAGCTCGTAACTTAATAAAAAAAGTCAATGCTTTAATTATGCAAATAAGCAATAGTTGAGCCATATGCTATGCTGCTACAGCCTTCATACCCATGCAGCACCTACATGAAGTTAGGCAGATGACTTGAACAGGGAAAAATCTAATTACCTCCTCGGATGATTCAGTCAGCTGGGTAAGAAAGAGAATCAATGGTGAAAGGCAAGTCAGAGATGACTCACATAGGATTAAAGAGAGGTTTCAGTACAGGGGCAGCAGCCTTACAATTGGATTTGTTGCTATGCACAGAAACTGATAAATACTTGGAACACAAAACAGATCTAAAACAAACTGATAACAGGACTAGTTCAATGTAAATAATCAATTGCATCAATATAGTCAAGTCTATCCGATTTTGCCATGAAGCAGTTATATAACCTATGTCTATCCCAGTTCAGTAATTGATGGAGGCAGGACCTGATCTCTGTAGCTACACATTTGCTTCTAGGATTTCTAAAGGGAATTAATTCCTTTACTTCATTCTACTTCTATGAATCAAATCACACGACAAGTAGGCAGCCTGTGCCAATGTATCTTTTCTGCATTAAAATACATGCAGGAGATTGTATCAATGTTTTTGTGTTAATCCAATGTCCATAATACTAAGTTTTATCGAAGAACATTACAGGTGGCCTTCCATTTACAATGGCAATTGCCATCTCTATGTAATGCAACCATAAAAGTGCAATTGCAGTGGCCATTTTTCCAGTTCCGGTCATGATTACTAGGCAGAGGCAATTTCCTCCTGGCTTCCCACAACTAAAGTTAAGTGGGGAAACCAGCTGGAAGTTGCAGGTCCCAGACTGGCAGTCAGGGAAGTGGCTGCTGCTGGTTGAGGGAGGAAGCAAAGGCGTGCTTAGGGAGGGTGCAAGGTAAGGATAGAGAATGTGCAAAAAGCATAAGGAGAGGATGCATGGGGATGTACAAAACGCAGCATGGGTTAGGAAGAGCCTGCAAGAGTGACGCAGGTTGGGAGGGTATGCAACAGGCATGGCAAGTGTTTGAGGAGGTTGCTCAAGAGGTGCAGAAGATATGGGGAAGGTGCAGCACAGAGCAGGTGAATGAGGGTGAGGGATGGGAAGGATGTATGCCAGGTAGATGAGTGAGGAAGAGGTTCAGGGCAGTAATTTCAAAGAGTTACTGACTGAAGAGTCACAGGTTTCATAGTTCTCAACCGATGACTATTCAGTCAGTTAACTCTTAATTATGATGGTGCTGAATGAATTACGGGGATTGTGAATTGGTCTTTGATGTTCCAGCAGCCCCATGTGCACAGTCCATGATCTGCACCCACACACATTTGACTCATACTGCATCCTGACTCCCACTGCATTAACCCCAATAACCCTAATTGCAGAAATGTCTGGGTAAATTATGAGAAGCTACCTGTGTTTGGGATTGTTTTTAATATTAGCAACATATTAATACTGAAACAAGATGTCATGGTAAAATGAGCTACAGCAGTTCTCTGTGATACGCTGATTTTTGTTCCAGCAAGTAAACCCAGCATAACAACCTATGCTGTTAAGTCCTCAGAAATGATTAAAATCCATTTCAGATAATTATAGAAGGAACTATGATAGCATTGGATGCAGTATCTGGATAACATCATAAAAAGACATTGGGAAGGATCCAAAAGACCCTGACACAGAGAAGCAAAGAATCCTGAAAGATGCTATTTTTATCTGTTATATCTAAACCAAAATAAACACTTACATGCAGCAGTTAATCTAGGAATGAGGAGACCGAAGTTGATATCCCTGCTTATTCATGAATCTTATGGCTGGGCTAGTCACATACTCAGATCCACCCAGTTCAAAAGGTTGGAGAGAAGAAAAACAACCTTCTGAATTAAGTAGTAGAGAAAACAAGAAACAGCTGGGAAGAATTTTACATCTTGCCTTGAATTCCAAGTCAGAGAATATACTGTATATTGCCATCATAGGAGAATTGAAGCCAGTAGGGGTGGCTTCAATTCTTGAAGGGGATTAGGGGTGGGAATGAGAAATACATCGTAAAGTGACTTTCTTCCTGCACCAAATAGCAGTAGTTTTGCTCTAAATTTCTGATCCTTCGCCAGTTATAGTCTACTTTGATGGTCTTTGCATCCAAGCCTCAGCTTGACTAATTTAAATCGTTCTGTTAAGGCTCATTTCTTCCCTCTTTCGGGGGCTGGTAAGACGCTGGGCCTGTGCAGAGGTCAGCAGCTCGATTCCCATGAGTGAATAAACCACGCAGGGACAAGAAAGGACCCTCCACAGAATGTCTACTGGTATTCAGGTGTCCCACTGGTAAAAATAACACCGCCCAAAAAAATTCACAGAGGCAGCCAGCCACCTTGGTGATCCCTGGCTAACCACTCACGCTTTCTTAAATCTTTATTTCTTTTTCCATTTTTCAGGAACTTGGCAGCTCTTTAATTCTGTCTCCTTATTCCTGGTGCCATTACCTAATCTATCAAGTTGTTCCAGTCATCCTAAATCAATACCACACAGTGAGATGAATACAGGTACATTTTATAGGCTATTTTTATAGGACAGATGCAAGGGTGGGATGCTACCGGTTCTGCCCGGTTCTAAAGAACCGGCAGCTCTGAAGAGCAGCAAACACCAAACCAGTTCTGTGTTTGCTGCTGTTTGGCCCACCCACCCACCTGGGCACTTACCTGTCCTTTATTTCCTGCATTTTCAACCGCAGCTGCTTTGCGCCGCACAGCTGAGGTTGGAAAAGCAGGAAAAAAGAGGTTTTTCAAACACTGCACCCCGCGCACAGCGCTTTTCAGCTGTCCAGGCGGCACAGCTGGTTTTTATACACGCGTGTCAGGGAAACAACGTAGTGACCGAACTGGTAGTAACACCAGTTGAATCCTACCCCTGGACAGATGCTACCATTTGCTTATTTAATTGGAGATTTAACACATAATTATATTTCAACCCTGGTCTAGTTGATCTAACTTTGCTTAATTTTTAAATAGCTATGCAGTTTGGTTATTTTAGTTAGAACAGACTATCACAGCTATTTCTCTGGAAAATACACCCATAAGTAGTATGCAAAAGTGAATTTTCAAAACCTGGCATTAGAATATTATAACAAAAAAAGCAATTGTTTTATAAAAATATTAAACTAAGCAATGCACCTTACCTTTTGTGCGTTCACAAAAAGTTTGTGAATTATAATACCAGCAGGCCCTCTTCCGGCACCAAGGACTGGTACTTCTGGTTGTTCCAGAAAGGAATTTACAAACCTGACAGCACAGAAAAAGTGGGAGGAAATATATCAGCAAAAGAAAAATCATTTTACACAGACACAGTTTTAAAAATAACACTGGAATACTGAACAGTGAAAGTTCTCAACCAACATTCACATTTAACAGAAAATTTTCAATTGACATTCTGAAGAAATGATTCAGGTTGTTTTATCTATGATTGAAAATCTTTCTTGTAATTAATTTAATTCCCTTTAAGGGAATTTTATCCATGCAAGTTAAACAAGTCACTTACTTTTCTAGATCTTTGCGTTCTTCTTCTTTAGTACATTTTTCTATTCCAAATTTTGCTTTTAGAGACCTTGCCCGAGCAATAGTGGCTTCCACATTCATAATTTGACCAATGATTTCCTGGGAAAAGATTTAAAAAAAAAACAATTTTCCCTACTTGTCACATATTTCAAAGCTTTGCTCAACCATTTATCAGAGCTGGGTTCAATAGAATTTCCCAGGATTGCTCACTCTCTCCTCTCACATAGTTAATACAGTCATATGTAACCTCTTTTTTTCTTGTGATTATCATAACATATTTATTTAAAAGCTAACATTTTAAAATTTGTCTTTCTTGAACATTATTAGGAAAATGAAATTCCTTACTTCTAATTTCTTGTCTTCTGGATTTGGGAACCGGAGGATTTTACTGGAATGGCTGATTATCTGCTTAATTATCTTCTTTACTAACCCAATATCTTCCAGAGATTCTGTTTTGAGGGAAAAAGCACGTTGTAGAAAAGGCACCCTATTTTTACCGGAAACATACAGCCCTGCTTGTTAAAAGTTATTTACCTTCTTCTTTTACCTTGAGTACGGCTGCGTGGATGACACAAGAAAGAAGATGCCTTGCAAGGTCAGCTGGTTTCTGAAGGGCTAAATAGTGTAGGACCTGAAGATACAGTAAGTCAAGTAGATTGCCATAATCTTGCTGCAAAATTGACAGCCATCTCTTCTCAGTGCTTCAAAACCGAAGGCTGCCTCATGCCCTTTCTTAAGCACTCAATCAAAAAGCCTCTTTCTCAAGTCTCTAAAGGGGAGGGGACCACCATGTGAAGATGCTTTGAAAATTATCTTTTTTTTTTTTTTACTGAAAGGAACTTTTTTAAAGCTGAAAGATAGCATAGCATGCTAGGTAGGTGAAAAGGTGATGAAAGACTGGGACGCAAGCCGAGAAGAAAAATTCACCGTACTTATCGTTTAAAAGGAAAACAGGCTCAAGATCAAAAATAACTGAAAGTTACTCTCTTACTTCATGTTCTTGTGAATAATTTATTTACATGCTTTCACATTCAAAATGGTTGCCAATTTAGACAATTATATTTCCAAATCTAACATGCATTATCCGGTCTTACTTTCTAAGGGACGTGCATAGCTGGTTACCATTATGAGTAACAGAAATTCCATACAAATATATTATAAAATAAACTAAGCTAATAAACGGAAATGCCTCTAATAGACTTTCCACAGTCTATCCTAGAATGAAGCAACTTTTTTTACCTTTTCTGCCTCACGGGTGTCATCAAAAAGGCGCCTCTGCCTCCTTGCTGGAATGGGCTTGGCTGTTTCCCAGGCTTCAACCCACATGTTACTTGGAATCTTCATTCGGGCGCTCAGTTCACCCTTGATGACTACACTCCCCTTTTCATCCACGGTTTCCTCTTCAATGTAATCCCGGGGCGAATACCATCTCACAAAATCTTCCAGACAACAACCAGGGTTGGCAGCCTAAGAGGAACAGGGAGGGAGGGGTGGGAGAAACATGCTTATTTATATATAGGGCATGGTTGTCCAAACTTGAAGAGGAATTGTCCTGAGCTGCATATAAAATGTATAACACAGTTAATGTACATAAAAGACTAACTTCCTTTATTGTTTTATCATCTTGTGGGGCCGTATTAGTAGTTGTCCAGAGCCACACGTGATGTGGATTTTCCAGACAATTCTTTTTTTAAAAAATAAGAGAGCATAAAGGATGATCAAAGGCATCATATAGTGGCACTTTCATCTTTTAAAACCTGAACGTGAAACATTCAAAATGATAGCTTACCTTCCTAACATTGTAATTTTCAACTTGTTGTCCAAGATGACCCTAGACGTGACTATTGCTTATCAATCTGAAAATGGCTGTATAACACATATGAATCAGATCAGGGTTATTTTTACAGTGAGTCTGACTTTTCAATGCAAAGATTATTCTGACCACTGGCAAGTTTGTAATGTATTGAAAAGTAGCTCTATGCCCATGTCTTTGCTACGAAACTTTGTAATCTTAGGACTTAGTTTTGGGCGAGGAAAATAGGGGGCGGGGGGAGAGAAATTGTGCCTCTGCCTACCAACATCCATTGGTATTCATCTGGCTAGCATCCTGTCAGTGTGTGAGAGAATTGAGGACTGTTTGGAAACTGAAACAGTATTTGCTGTGTGAGCAAGGAGACAGCAAGGAGCCTGGGTGCGGCTTAGCTAAACTGTTCTGTACTAAAGCTGGTTGCTACTGTGAAACTAAAACTGAAACTCCTCTCCTCTGCTTGTGTTTTGCATTTGGAACAGATTTCTTTTCAGGTGAGATGGGGAGAACTCCTTAGCATCAGAGCGTGTTAATAATATAGGAAATACTAATGCTCTGATGGTCATTTTGAAAAATCCTTTGTTAGCGAGCACCTAGAAGCCAAGAGGAACATACGTGCCAAATTTCAAGTTTGTAGGCTTTACGCTTCTGAAGATTTTGTGATGATGCATGAGTGCTTTTTCGCTTTTATATATAGAGATTAAGGTTATTTCAGAAACTGGAGTTCTTTAAAAGCTCAACTTTCTTCTGTACCATGACAGAGAGGTAGATGTTTTAGATGTTGATGACCTGCAATTCCATGATTCCTTCACCATTGATTGGGAAGGCTGGGGACTGAGGGAACATTCCAAAAGGGAAGGACACAATGGATGTCACGGATATAAATACAAATGTGTTTATCACATTTTTATCCTTTAAAATAAATAAAGATGGTCCAGTTGCCTCAAATAGTGTCTACATGGTTGTAAAATGCAGGTCTAGGATAGGATCCAGCTTCTACTTCTGTAGTTTTGAAAGAAAAGGAGGGATTGTTGACTGCAACATATTTTATGACCTAGTTTCTCTTCTCTTCAATTTTGTATATTGTGCCAAAAAATATAAAATACAAATAAGTGTTAAAATATAATAGACAGCTGCTGTAAGATTTAACATTAACACTGGGCATTTAACTTCTGCTTCCTTCAAGTTCTAATTAAACTATTCACAGAAAAGACAGTCAACCAATCCATAAACGTATTTTTGATTCAAATAAGTATAATTTGGACAAGCAAGCTTATCAAAAAAGGGAATGTTAATTAATATTAACAGAGACTGGTAATGAATATTTTCCTGAACAAAAATGTAACAAACATGCTAGAGAATCTACCACATTTCTCATTCGCATGTTTAGTGCAGATGGCAGTGGAACAAAGACTAATGACTAAAATGGGGGAAATATGATAGAAAAGAGGAAATATCCTGCTAAATACGTTGTATGACATGTTTATGCTATTGTACAGGTAGTCCTCAACTTACAACCATTTGTTTAATTGAAGTTAATGTTCAAAGTTACAATGGCACTAAAAAAGGGAGTAATGACCGTTTTTCACACTTATGATCGCTGCAGCACATCCCATGATCATATGATCAAAATTTGGATATTTGGCAAAACTTTATATTTATGATGGTTGCAATGCCCCAGGGTCGTATGAGATCACCTTTCGCAACCTTCTGACAAGCCAAGTCAGTGGGGAAGCCAGATTCACTTAACTCTGCTATTAACTTAACAACTGTAGTGACTCACTTCTCTGTGGCGACGGTGGTAAAATGAGGCAAAACTCACTTAGCAATAATCTCGCTTAGCAGCTGAAATTTGGGGCTCAATCGTAGTCCTAAATTGAGGACTATCTGTACTCATTCCCTGATGACCCTGGCAATCTGTGCCTACTTTGAAAGACTCCATATCTGAGAGCAAGCAAGCACTTTGCATGCGAGCTCGAAGGTGAGCTCCTTCTGCCGAGGTTCCCAGCTTGGCCAATACTTCGGATTGTTCTTCTAACAGATCTTCTGTCATAGGAGCTGGTTCCTGAACAAGGAGAGAGAGGAATTCTTGTTAAGGCTTTTTATCTCCCGTCAGGGAACAAAAACAATGAACAAAGGAACTGAATGTGGTTTCCACATGCTTAGAACCTGTTATTCGACCTCTGCATGCCGAAGCCAGATATATCAGTCCAAAACCTAATACTTTCTGAATACAAATACAATTCAGTCATTTAACAAACTGAAGTTTCTGCATAATAGGAAACAGGAGAAGACAAAGGAAAGTAACGGATCAGCTTGGATTAAGACAGCTTCCTGACTGCAAAAAAGCCAAGAATGGCATCTAGCAGTAGACCAAGAAGGGGAAAAGTATTAACAGGTTATCCTGTGGCTAGAAATTGAGTTCTAGTTCTGCTTTAGGCATGAAAAACTCTGGGCAGTCGCTCTCTCTCAGCCCACAATGTCAGGTGCTAATTCCTGTTGCAACCAAAGATCAACACTCAGTTGATCTGAAAATAGAGGACCCTGCATTTCTGGAAAAATGCTAGAAAGAAAAAAAATGCCCCCTTAGCTACAACAAATTCTATTCTAACCATTCCATACCATACTTGTTACTGAAATTTATCATCTGGACATGGAAATTGATTCTCTGCCATTTCTACCTATCCTTAAGAGACTAGTTTTACAACATTGCAAAGATGGCTTATGGCTCCAATTGCTCAGTGGACTGAGGGCCTGATATTATTCACAATTTATGAATGTTTCATATAAAGGTAGTGGACAATTAAAATGATATACAGGAATGCTTTACCGAAAGAGATATAGAGATGAGTTTCAACCAAAGTTACAATGGTGCTGAAAAAAAGGGACTTGCCAGTTTTCAAACATGACCATGGGTAGCATCCCCTGGTCACGTGATCAACATTTGGGTGCTTGTCAACTGGCATGAGATTATGACAGCTGCACAGTCCCGGAGTCATGTGATCACCATTGGTAACCTTCCCAGCAGGCTTCAGCCGAGTCAATGAGGGAAGCTAGATTTGCTTAATGACCTAATTAGTGATTCACTTAACTACTGTGGCAAGAAAGATCATAAAATGAGGCAAAACTCACTTAACAAAGGTCTTGCTTAGCAACAGAAATTCTGGGCTCAATTGAGGTTGCAAGCCCAGGTATATAACTTTGCTGTTGACATTGTGGTGGCACAGTGGTTAGAATGCAGTTCATGGTGCAGTACTGTAGGCTACTTCAGTACTGACTGCTGGCTGCCTGCAGGTTGATTCCCACCGGCTCAAAACTGACTCAGCCTTCCATCCTTCCGAGGTGAATAAAACAAGGACCCTGTTTGTTGGAGGCAATAGGCTGACTCTGTAAACCACTTAGAGAGGGCTGGAAAGCACAAGCGGTATAGAAGTCTGAGTACTCTAGCTATTGCTTTCCCCTCCCCTTTCCTTTAAAATTGTTGTTTAAAGGAGAAAGCATTGTAATACAGTCACTGCACATACGGCTCATCTCCCACGTTGTGTTTGAATGGTAATCATACTGAATATAAAATTTTAAAACCAAGACAAAATTATACCTGCGAGAAAATAAGATCATTTATTAAATACTGTTCATGTCTAACAAACCCTAGGAGCCCCTTTCCCCTTCCTCTTGAAATGGAACTCAACTTGGACATAGGAGAGAAGCGGAAATATTTGTCAATGTTATTCACTCACCTGGGTTACCGGCACATAGAGAGGTTGTCCCGGGTGAAGCAATTTCATAGTGCCATACGGATGCAGGCGGCCCTCTGGCTTCAACACAAGTGTCTCTTTACTACTTTCTTTTGCAATTCCTTTCTTTCCACCTTCTTGTCCGTTTCCTTTAAGCTCCTCCGTGTCACTCAGGCATTCAAAAAACTCTTCTTCACTGTCACTCCAAGATTCCCAAGATTTCCCCACTTCTCCTTTCTCTTTATCACTCTCTTTTGGATAGTCTCGATCCACCACGTCTTTTTGCTTTTCCAAATTAATCACTTTTTTCCCCTCATCTCTTTCTTTCTTTCTTTCAATGCAACAATTTAACATCTGGAAAGCAATCAAACTTCCATCAAGCCCACTGAAAATTCTATTGTTAATGTTAGCTATAGGTATTTTCACAATGGCAACGTTTTGTTCACATTTGTAAGAGAAGCCAGAAGGTAGCCTGAATTCAAATTTATTATTGGCAAAAAGACAGCATACTTCATATAAATTCCTATAATAGATTTATAGGCTGCCCCCAATCTCTACAACTCTAAATGGCTTACTGGATACAATTAAATAGAAATTGATCACAATTTTTCAAATGAAGATTAATATATAAAAAAGCATGAGCATTGGTAAGATTTACCTGGAGTTTCTGATGCAATAAACAACATCTCAGATCAGGTGCACTGCTGGTTAACCTAAAAAGTAATTACACTGATATTACTACAGCAATAGAAAAAGACTTGAACTGCAAAACATATAGATGCTGCCATTTTCACAAAGAGCATATACTCAACTTATGACAACTGAGCCCATTTTCACTGCTAGGCAAGACAATTGTTAAGTAAACTTTGCCCCATTTTATGATTTTTCTTGCCACAGTTCTTAAGTGAATCACAGCAGCTGTTAAGTTGATAACATGGTTGTTAAGTGAATCTGGCTTCCCCACTGATTTCCTTGTGGGAAAGTTGCAAAAGATGATCACATGATCCCTGCATACTGCAATGGTTGTAAATATGAGCCAGTTGCCAAGTGTCCGAATTTCCATGAGGATGCTGCAATGGTCATGTAAAAAATGGCCGTGTCACTTTGTTCAGGGCCATTGTAACTCTGATCACTAAATGAATAGCTGTAAGTCAAGGACTACCTGTATAACCTGTCACTAAGTTAAATTAAGACCTTTGTGTCACAGCCTAGCAATCATTTGAACATATTTTTGCAAATGACAAGACTCGGATACTTCATGATTTATCACCCAAATATCCCTGGCAAAGATATTTAGGTTAGGCTGCTTAGAATCTCCTTCTGAGCAATCTACGTAGATGATATAAATGTATCAAGCCTTTTCTCCCTTTTATGTTAAATAAAAGAAACTGGCTGTGAATAACCTTTTGAGATGGCAGTAACACTTTACTCTCTCTTCAAACTAACTCTGAGATGTGTAGAAAACTATTGATTTCTTATTAGTAATAACTAAATAATAGGTCTAAAACTCACCCTGGGATGAAGAAGTTGTTCTCCCATCTATAGCGCATTTCCAAGACGAATTCCTGCCAGAGATGTGCAACTCCTTTGACTCCACCATGATAAAAGTTGATCATACAAAGACAAAGAGCCAGTTTGTATGTCAGGCTGTCAGAAGGAGCAGATTTGAATTGGATGTAGAGATTCTACATGTAAGGACAAATGAAGAGAATTCGTGAAACGATATTAAACTGATGCACAGAACTGCAAATTGTATTCTAAACTGTAGAATTTAATTTTAATACGCACAGTTGTTTTCTTTAAAACAAAGCATTATCTGCTTTTGAAAATGTATCCTAATCAAACCCGTGAAATTTGCTTTTCATTTGAATAAAAGTAATTAAAATCTGGTACATGTTTTTCACATATGCATTTGAACTTACGGAGTCTTCACTCTCTGGGGGTGGAATACTTCCTGCTGAAGTATTCGTTCTAGCTTCAGATCCATCTGCTGATTTGTCAACAGCATCAGGGAACAAATACTAAAAAGAAAGACACACAGCTTCAGTTTTCAATTTTTTCACAACATTGGATCTTACCATTACATTGCCCCGAAACACGGCTACTGAACCCCTAAATCATTATTTCTCCTGCTATGAAGCTATCAAGAACACATTTTGTTTATCAGCCAGTGTAATTAATAGAGCATCCATCTGATCTCAAAAGCTGGATGCCTGACAGCAACCACTCTGGGGTTTTTTTTTTTTTAAATATATTGAGCCTTCTAAATGCTTTTTCGTGACAATGCCAAACATTTAGCAGCAATCCATTTTCAATGTGTGACTGCTAGAAGATCTCTATTTCCAGAGAGAGATCAGATTTGTTATTCTAGTGAAGGCTCAGACAATTCATAACTCATCATAAAACGTAACCTACCATGAGAACAGTATTCAGGACATCATTATTTAAAGGAGATTCATCTATGCCTCTGTGCTTACGAATTTTTTTCTTTGCAGTATGAACCATATTTGTCACTGACAGTTTATGGATTGGGACTGGTGCTGGTTCTGTGAGCTTGGACAAAGCATGGCTTATATCGGCATCTACAAAACATCAACATTTGGCAAAAAAAAGAAGTGATCCAAATTATTGTAATGTTTCCTTAGTATCTTTCCCTGTCTTGCTTCACTTAACAGTGGTAACTGAGATCAGAATTTCCATCGCTAATTGACATTAAACAAATCACTGCAGGCCTTTAAACAAGAATGTCACATGATCGCCATTAGTGATTTCCTGCTGGCTTCTCCATTGACTCTGCTTGTACGAAACTGGCAATGCTCACAAACTGCAATCACATGACCACTGAATATTGAAACTTTGTAATTCCAAGCCAGGTGTCAGGAAACTAACTGGTATTAGTATAAGGACCCATTTTAAGTACTGCTCATTCAGTGTCATCATCAGTTCAAAAGTCATGGAATGAGTGATTGCTAAATCAGGATCAGTTCTTTTTTTAAAAAAAATCTCATTGTTTTATTAAATACTACTTAGATCAGGAGTTTCAAACTCAAGGCCCAGGGGCCGGATTCAGCCTGCAGGGGGCTTAGGTCTGGCCCACAGGGCTGCCCTAGAAACAGCGAAGGACCGGCCTGCGATGTCTCTGCCAGCGAAAACAGAGCTCTGGAAGGCCACAGGCAGGAGTTGCAGGACGCAGTCTCAAATATAAATGGAGCTTGGGACCTATTTTTGCTGGCAGAGCATTTGAGCCACTATAGGCAACCCAGCATGAGTGACATTGAGCTGGCCACACCCACACTGGTCCCGAGGTCAAACAAAACCCAGATGCACCCCTTAATGAAATCGAGTTTGACACCCCTGACTTAGATGTTTTCACAAATCCAAGTGTCCCAACCTTTGATTGTTTCAGAAAAACTATGAATTTTACCTTTCCCTTCTTCTTCAAACGCTGATCTTCCAAGAATCTCATCAGTTGATTCTTTTCGACGACATAATTTGAAAAATTCAGTAACAAAATCACCTGCAAGAGGAAATAGTCATGCAGATACTTTACTGTTTTCCACAAAGGAATACTCCATATAATTAATATTGGGTAGAAAAAGTAATATTTAGTAGAAAAAGTATTCCTCAGACCTATAATTGGCAATTTACATTCGATACTAAAATTAAATTACTGATCTAATGGGAGGGCTTTAAATTTCATATAAGAGTAACTAGGATTTAAGATGCTAGCATAAATATAAAAACATTGTGCCAATACCATTAAGAAGACAAATTGAATTAGGATTTCAAAATTAACTATGAATAGCTAACTACATAAATCTAAATACAAGTTATTTGTCTCCTCTGTCAATACAAATCCAACATTTTAATTGAAAAATGTGTAATTGGCCAATAATCAACTGAGTGCTATTTTAAGCGCTGAAACAAAGTGTGTTCAGGCTCAGTTAGATTTAAAATTAAAATACAAATTGCCTTCTTTGAAGTTTAGGGAACTTCCTAAACCAAATATGTGACATTAAGAATAAATATAATTTATTGCTACCACAGAAGTTGAAACTCACATATGAATATTTAAGTATGCCAAATGAAGCCATAAATTATTGGTTTTTTAAAATTCCAAATTTTACATTCAAAACATTCCGGTGCTATTTTTTCTGAAATAAAAACTTATTTTAACTATTAAGAAAGACATAAAAAGAAATAAAAGGTTCTTATTGCATTCTTTACCACAAAACCTACATGAACTTTCTGGTGTCGCACAGTGCTGTATCAACTTCATATCTTGCTGTAATACAGGTAGTCCTCAACTTTCAACAATTGAGTCCAAAATGTCCATTGCTAAGTGAATTAAGTGAGTTTTTCCTCGCCTTATACTTTTTTTTTGCCACAGTTAAGTGAATCACTGCAGCTATTAATTTAATAACCCGGTTGTTAAATGAATCTTCCCCATTGAGTTTGCTTGTCATGTTGAAAGAGGTGATCACATGACCTCAGGTCACTGCCACTGACATAAATATGAGCCAGTTGCCAAGTGTCCAAATTTTAATTACGTGACCGTGGGGATGCAACAGTTGTAAGTGTAAAAATTGAACGTTAGTCAGTTTTTTCAATGCCATTGTAACTTTGAGCAGTCATTAAATGAACTGTTGTAAAGTCAAGGACTACCAGTAATTTGAAAGAAAAAAAAAGGCAAGGGATAGAATAAAGCTTGAGAATTCTTACTCAGTAAGCACTGTGGATTATCAGCTTTTCTGACTCTCACAGACCACTGAGGTGCTTGAGCAGGATCCAGGTCTCTTTAAAAACAAGCAAACAAAAAATATTAACTTTGTTTTACCCAAACACTGAAAAGCAGTGTTTGAATAAAAACAGTAAGTTTTGATAATGATCTTTAGCATACTCTGACAAAATAAAATAAACCCCTTTCCCCATCTTTTAGGTAGGCTCTCTCTGGCATTTTTGACTAATGTGATTGTTTTTATAAGCTAAAAAGTTGTCTAGACAATTTTGAATTAGAGCATTTTCTGAAAGTTTCCCCATGTTAATTATTCAAATTAGTATATTAGTCTCAATGTGTGTCATGGATTTCTGGGGCCCTCAGGATGGTAAATAACAGGACCCAAACCTCCATTCCCAGGAGATCCTTGGGTCTTCGCTCCTATTTCAGTTTCTCCTAGGGAAGCAATTTGGTAGTTCCTGCTATCACTACTTTACTTCCCAGGGGATACCTCACCTGGAACTCATTCCCTACTTCCAGGGTATGGGAAGTCTCACAAAATCTATGTTGCTTTTTTTGTGATTCTAGCTCAATTTCTTAGAACAATTTCTTGAAAAGCAACCACCACTTAATTCTGAAACTGCCAAATTTTTCCTAAAAGAAAAAAAAAATTCTAAGTATTGGGAAAAACTTAGTATTGGTATATAAGTTATTCAAAAGCAGACTGTTTAAGTACAGCAAGTTCTCTTTCAACCAAGGTTTTTATGCAGATGCTAGATCACCACTGATCACTGCTTCCTGCTTTGTTTCCGTTAGATTCTTTCAAACCAAACAATATTCACGTTAAGAAAAAAGTATTACTGCATGGTGCACTTTATTCAGAATAAATGGATTCAACTACATCTCTTATTAAACAGAAGCACGCTCACATTAGGCAAAGTCAATCTTAATATTATTACAAACATTACTACAATGTTTATTCTACAGGAAACTTTGTCGTATATAATAGAAAACTTAAATACAATTTTAATATTTGGAAATGAAGAAGTCTGACTAAAAGAAAGTTCTGGAATTCTGAACTATAAAATATAATGAAACAGAAAAATATGTACTTACGAATAAACATCATTGTCCACAATTATGCCCTCTGTTAAATGGGGCCATGTAGCTGCTAAATGAAGTTCACTAGAAGTAGAAACATTACTTTATAAGAAGTTTTGAAATGATAACAAAATAAGTATTAGCATGGATCCAAACTTGACTTGCAGAAACAGAAAGTTACTCAGAGGTAAATCCTAATAGTGCAGGAGAGGGTATCTCAAGACCAAAACTATTCAATGATCAAAGATTGCCTTGAAATTGACAGTGTGATTTTGCATCACTTTGGGAAAGAACGATATATATATAGGCCTAAACCACACTTAGCATCACTTGGAAGAAAATAAATCCCTCCCAAATTTGGGGAGGGGAGAACCAAAATCCCTGCATTATGTGTGACATAGCTGCACCTATCAAGCCCCCTAATTATTAAGTATGGTTTTTAGCACCAAAAGACTGTCCATCACTAGAATGAGTGACTGCAAAAAAAGGCAGTCCCACTCACTGTAGCAAAGATAAGCAAATGGCTGCTTAGAATTCAGTTTTTAACTATCTATGGAAATTCAAACTTACCATGTTTCTCACAAAATAAGGCCGGGCCTTAATTTTTTTGACCCCCGAAGAAACGGCTAGGCCGTCTTTTCGGGGGTGTCTTAATTCCACCCCCCTTGCAACTTTGGGTGGGCAGGTAGCGAAGCTTGGATGCTGACCTTGGCGTTGGTGGGCACTTTGTATCGGGAGACCTTCCGTCACCGTTGCTTTCCCTTCTCCCTTGCTGCCGTGGCGTTTAGAGCAACGCCGTGGTGTTTGGCGCAGCCACGCACAGCCAGCCAGGGCTTCTCCCTGCAACCAGAGCCCAGCGGAGACACTCGGCTTCAGGCACTCCTGTCGCCGCCTTCCCTTCGCCTTCGAATGTGAAACCAATTATTTTAAAAACGATGCCCTACTACAACAAAGCCTCCCCTGCCCGAGAGGGCAGCCCAACCTCACGTGGGGAGGCAAATCTCCCGGGGCCGCAGCACAGGATCAGCCCACCGCGGGAGAAGCACCCAGCCGCCATCCCTGCCTGGTGCCGGGCAGAGCGTGAAGAGCTTCACCTGGGGCGCCCAGCGCAGCTGACAGGCGGGCCCTCCTTCCCGGCAGCAGAGCTCTCACCAAGGCAGCGAGGGCCTCTCCGCCAGAGCCGTACGGGCTGGGCAGAGCCGGGAAAGCGAGCCATGGGTGCGCGCCCGCCTGCCAAGCAAAAGAGCCGGGCCAACCTGAGCTTGGCTTCCTTCCTAAGTCCCTCCAGCACGACCCTGAAAGGGCCACTGGGAGAGGCTGCCCGAGGCAGTGATAGCGCCCACCTGTCCACGGACAGGGAGGCGAGGTGATGGCAGCGCGGCTTCCCTGGCCAGCGGAGAGAGCCCGAAGCCGCCCATCCTTTCCACCCCTCGCCCAGCCTGTCCCTGTGCATCTCCAAATGCGCCGGCAGCTCCAAACGCTGCAGCGGAAAGGGCATCAGGCAGAGGCGCTGACTCAACGGGGCTCAGCTCGGAGGAGGACGCGGCGCAGGCCGTCGCCTTGCCTCCCTGTCCGTGGATGGGTGGGCACTATCACTGCCTTGGGCGGCCTCTCCCGGTGGCCCCTTCGGGTTCACGCTGGAGGGACTTGGGAAGGAAGCCAAGCTCAGGTAGGCCCGGCTCTTTTGCTTGGCAGGCAGGCGCGTACCCGTGGCTTGCTTTCTCGGCTCTGCCCAGCCCACACGGCTCTGGCGCGGCCCTGGCGGGATGAGCGGAGGGTCCGGCGGGGAGGTGCTTGCTGCCTTGGTGAGAGCTCCGCCACCGGGCAGGAGGGCCTGCCTGTGAGCTGCGCTGGGTGCCCCAGGCAAAGCTCTTCGCGCTCTACCCAGCAGCAGGCAGGAATGGCGACTGGGTGCTTCTCCCGGGGTGGGCCAATCCTGCTCTGCAGCCCCGGGAGATTCGCCTCCCCACATGGGGTTGGGCAGCCCTCTCCGGCAGGGGAGACTTTGTCGTACTGGTAGTAGGGTGTCGTTTTTAAAAGAATTGGCTTTGCCTTTGAAGGTGAACGGGCTCCGGTTGCAGGGAGGAGCCCTGGCTGGCTGTGCGTGGCTGTGCCAAACACCGTGGCGTTGCTCTAAACACCGCGGCAGCAAGGGAGAAGGGAAAGCAACAGTGGAGGAAGGTCTCCTGATACGAAGTGCCCCACCAACGCCAAAGTCAACGCAGGCAGCACCATATCCGGGTATGCAACAAAACTACCTCCTAGTGACAACCCCCCCACCATTTCCCTCACCATTTCGCATGTTTAATATAGGCCTTAATTTGGGGGGAGGGGCTTAATTTGATTTTATGCCAATAAAACATGCTGGGCCTTCCAATTGGTGGAGGCCGTATTGTTGGAGAAACATGGTACTACTTTATACATACGAATGTTTATTTCTTAAAATATGCAGCTGAGACCCAATATTTTCCTATCACTCACTGAATAATTTAAAGAGAATTTAGGCATGGTATTCAGTGCCATAATGTTCTCTAACAGTGAGTTTACAGAGGAAATAGATCTGGTAACTTTAATTCATGAATAAAAACTTATCAAACACTTTATTATATATTAAACGATGTAGATGCATAAACAACTGTTCTGTTAAAAAGACTTCTGAAATAATAATAAAAACTTCTTACCTAATAGGATCCTCACAGGCACCAAATGGTAACTTTCCAAATTCTACGCCTCCAACTTCACCTCCAACTAAAGCATCTATATCTATTGGCAAACATAATTATATTTATACAGTTCATGTAGTTATACATACATACATACATACATATATTATAAATATTTTGTCATATTATTCCATAAATATATAATATTCTAATTCCTACCACTTGAGGAAAGGATGATATTGTCACAACAAACCAGTTTATCTTAGACACAAAAGTTTAATCTTCTGTTTAATATTAATCTCATTCTTTATGAGGCACAGTGGGGTTAAGAGATAAAAAAGTTTCATACAATTTCTACACAATCTCTTCTTGAAAAAAGTTCAGATTCTTCAATTTGTAATCATTAGCATTATGGATATGGTAGTAGAAAATATGTGCAGATAGTCCTTGACTTATGACCACAATTGAACCCACAATTTGTTGTGAAATGAGACAGTTGTGAAGTTATTTTTGCCCCATTTTATGACCTTTCTTGCCATAGTTGTTAAGTGAATCACTATTGTTAAGTTAATGACATAGTTGTTAAGTGAATCTGGCTTCCCCATTAACGTTGCTTGTCATAAGGTTGTAAAAGGGGATCACGTGACCCCTGAACACTGCAAACATCATAAAAATATGGCAGTTGCCATCGTCCAAATTTTGATCATGTGAGGATGCTGCAATGGTCATAAGTGTGAAATATGATCATGTCACTTTTTTTCTGAGCTGTTGTAACTTCAAACGGCCCCTAAATGAACTGTTGTAAGTATAACAGATTCTTGAGCAACTAAATCTACTACAAAGAATGAAGACGAATCCCAATACATGTGGTAGCCTAAGGCAATAATGGATGAAGACTTCATTTTACAGGTAATCCTCAATTTATGAGCATAACTGGAATAAATTTTTGATATTGTTTTGCGGTGGTTATTAAGCAAATCAATTTTGCCCAATAGTTGTTTTCCGCCAGAAATCAGAAGTAAATGTCACAAAGCTAAAATATATCATAAAATAAATAAAAACGATAAATAAAAAAACTGCAAAAAATGAAACAAATAAAATTATGGAAGAGAGTATTTGTAGCTCCAGGGTGAATTGTGGAATCCTTGGTGCTCTGAGTTTCTTGCAGGCATTTCATTACCAAATTAAGTAACATCGTCACTGACAATGTTATCTACTTTACCTACCTAGGTCTGTAACAGCCAAGGACCCCAAATTATTCTTTGCATTTTACAGTGAGGAACAAGTTTTTTTTCCCCCTTGCCCTAGCCTCAAAGCTGCTGTCATATATTTAATATATGTTAAACTTCTAATTTATTTGTTTTATAAAAAGAACAGGAGAAAGAAAAGAATTCTTGTTGCATGTTTCTTTGGTTCTGAACTACTTTTGTACTAAATTAGACAACATGAAATTACAATACAAATAAATCAGTTTCCTACCTGGAGGTTGTTGAGGCCAAAAATACTGCTGCCAATCTTGAAGTATATATGTAAGCCTAATAGTTATATTAATTGCAGGCAGTGGTGTTAACGGGCAGCCCTGAAAAACATACCAATAAGAATAATCACAAAAAATGTGAGGTCCAAAACATTAGGCATTCCTAATCTTTTGTTTTAACCCAGATAATATAACAGAAAATATTTCTGAAGAGTACATTTTCAAAATTGTATATGAATACTTTTTGCAATCAGCTGAATTCAATGTCCTTCTGAACCGCTTTAATGTTCAAAGTAAGACTGATTCACAAAAATGTATCTCTTGTGAGCATTGTATTTGAACTGACATAATTTGTGAGATGAAAGACTTTCCCCAGGCATTGGATACGTGATAGAGGACAACACAAGTCACTTTTAATCATTCTGTATTGAAGTGAAAAGGAAGAACTTTAAATTTTGAAACCTTTCCCTACTTATACTGTTCATATTTAATCGGATCAAAGAGTAGGAATAAAAACTAAGGAAAAGTAAAGTTTGAATAAATTATAAATGGTATATAACACAATCTGCAAAAAATGTTTAATCTGCATGGCATACTTGAGTAACCTCACCTAAAGTGACCCATTCAAAATACAAGTAGTCCTTGCTCAATGATCATTCATTTAACAACTGTTCACAGTTGCTACAGTCCTGGAAAAGTAATCTAGAATCAATCCTTGTATTTACAACCACCGCAGCATCCTTGAGGTCACATGATAGTGATCCAAGTGCTTAGCAACCAGCTTACTCTTACAATAGTTTCTGACCTTCCTATCTGACAAGCAAAGTCAACAGGGAAGCTGACAGAAGGTTGCAAGTTGTGGTCAAGTGATGTCTCACTTAACGACCATAGCAAAAAAAAGGTTGTAAAGTCAGGTACAGTCAGATGGTACCTCACTTAATAAACCCAATACTTATTTTCTGGTCCCTACTGTGGTTGTAAGTTGAGAACTAACTGTAGCATAAGAGTTACTGCACTTGCTACTTTTGGAAAGATCATTTGGGACATCTTCATGCACCAGCCATGTGCATACACAAACTATACTCACAATCTTAGATTTGAAGATGTCCAACAATCCAGATAAGTGACTATACTGACTGGGTACTTTGCGAAGATGAACCATTTCAAAGTCAGTTCTGACTCCAGGACCTTGACACTCCCCAACATACATTTTCCGGTGTCTGTGATGAATTTGCACAAATACTGGCACCTGGCTGAAAAATATTGAAAATGTTTTCAAATAAAGATGATTGTATTCTTGGGAGAACTAGACTGATTAAAATCACTAATGTAGAGTTTGAGAAAAAAAACCACACTAAAAACTCAGCAAAGAAGCAACTTTATGTAATTTCTATTTTTTTGCTTGTTGTTAGCATCTTGTCTTATTTCTGCAAGCTAGTAAAACAAGGTTCTTCGTGTGCATCTACTTTGCAAAAAAAAAGATAGTGCAGGAGTACAAAACTTAACTTTATTGCTGTATCTAAACAGAGATCTAGTCCCGTTCCCTTCCAGCACAGAAGATGTTATTTAGCTGGATAATGAAATATCTGCACAAATACAACCAAGCTTAGAGAGTACCAAAGACTCCACAGTTCATCTCTGAGCTACAAATATTCTCTTCTATTGATAAAACTTTACTTACCAACCTGTGTTGCCCAATGCAATAGAAACTGAACTTAGAAGGAGATTACATTTGGATTCGCTAAGAACGGCCTCATTGTTTGCTGCTGGTGCAATAACTACAAGTTCACGCAAGCCATACCTAGAACAAATGAAATATTCCACTAAATGTAGATTTCAAAGATTAAGAGGATTAAGATGAATCTATCTCTCGCTATTATTTAAATATTAAAACACTGGTCTCTCTGCTAAGCCCCACTAAAGATTTAACATGATCTAACATCAGGCAAAATCACTATGTTAACAATATTCTTTTTGATATCTTGCATTTTGTGGCATAAATAATAAAAGTCTATGAAATGTATTGGTCATAATGAAAAATTCTTTCAATTAATTTCTTAAATTAAAATGTAAGATTTTAAATAATGGACATACCATCTTACTAGACAGTGAGCTCTAGGAGGGAAATCATTGTTCATGCATAGAAGATCTTGCATAGCAACAGGAAGAGCATCTGTTAACCATTAAAGATGAAACAATTAAGTCTTTAAGATTTCAACCAGAATAAAGGTTTTGATTAAATAGCCAAGGTGGGTAACTTGATTTTAGTCCAATTAAATGAACTATTTAATTAAATTTAATAAGACATTAATCAGTTTAATTATTTTACAATTTTAAATACTAGTTGTCCTCTTAAATACACTTTCACAACTACTAAATAAAAAATAAGCATATTAGCTCATGGATTTAATTTTGGGTCGAGTCAATCAGTCCCCAGACAAGTCTTTGCATCTTTCTTGTCAAGATTTTAGAAGTGGTTTGCCACTGCTACTTCCTAGGACTGTCAGTAACTGGCCCAAGGCCATACAGCTGACTTTGTGCCAGTTCAAACTGGTACCAAAGTACACCAAATCAGTCCTTATCAACCGACATATTTACCTTTTAAATTGTCTAATGAAAATGGAAGTTGACACCTTCTTTTTAAAAATGTTATCATATACCGTATTTATCGGCATATAACACACACTTTTTCCCCCTGAAAATAGGGGGCAAATGATGTATGCGTGTTATACGCCGATGTCCACCCTTATTTTTTTCCTGAAATTTCCCTCTTAAAATGAAGATGCGTGTTATACGCCTGTGCGTGTTATACGCCGATAAATACGGTATCTATACATTCCTTTAATGAGCAAGGTATCAAATATGTAATTATTAGAGTATGACATTGTCTATAAGTACTAACTTCACACTGTATCACATTAAAAAGTGTTGTTCGCAACTACCCAGTCACTTGACACTGAGAGAGGCAGCATATAAATTTAATAAATATATTTAATAAATAAAAAAATAGATGCTATGAGCTAAAGATTTTTTGAGCATTTAAAAATGTACCCACCTTCTACTAGCTCATCTTTTGCATTTTTATCAGTTGATTTTTGGACTAGATAATGATGCGTCACAGAAAATCGAAAATCAGCAAAAGTAATTTCATCAGATTTGTCTTCCCATATTTCAGTGGTATATGCACCCTACATATCAGACATGATGTGATCAGAAAAGCTATCTGAAATACTTTTAATCATATTTCATAGGAAATACCGTAGTAAAAATCCACTGCTACTTCAAAAAGCATATTTATAAATGTTTATTCATATAAACATTGTGAAAAAAATCTAACAAAATAGAAATATAATCTCATTCCTTTGAACCTCCATTGGTTTTGTTCCTAACCTATTGATTAGTACTTTTGTTTCATTTTTAAATCAAAGTAGATATAAATCAATTTTAAAAAATCAAGTACTTTCTTAAGATGTTTCATAAAAATGATCACAACTCAAAGACAGAAGAAAAAAGATTATTAGTATAATTTAAAAGTTAATGTTACTAATTCTCCTTGTATAACTGCTCAAAACATTCAGAACAATCAACTGAACTAGAACTGATACAGCTCCTAATGACTTCACAAGTATACATTTGCTTGCCTGAAACTTAGGAATAGCATTCCATTTTTGGTGTTTAATGAATCTGAAAAAGACCTAATGAAACAATTGCTTTATATGTTATGTACCTTGTAAATATGAAATCTTCATCATTCAGTAATAAAAATATATTCAGATTATGTGAAACAACAGTGCCCTTTTACTGGAAATAATCAAAGAATATTCCTAACTAGTGAAATAGCAAATAAAATTATTTTACTAATTTAAATTAAGACCTATCTTGTGTTTGCCTTAAATGGTGGCATATAGCTGGAGACATATAAATTCTTACCTTTTCTAAAGGTTTGCCTGAAGAAATGTTAATAAGTTTCCAGTCATTCAAAACTTCTTCAACTCTGGAAATAAATCTAAGGAGAAAATGTTTGAAAATCATTAGTATTATAATCCATGTTTCTAAAAACAAACATAATTCAACATACTTAGGGTTTTGTTTTTTGTTTTTGTAATTTAAAGAAAAATTCATATCTAATGTATTTTTTCCAAAATTTAAAACAACAGCTATCAAATGATGGATCACAAAAAGATTAATACAATTTAATACAAGTAATACATACACACAACCATATATCAGAGCTAGGGACTTTTGAACTATTTTATGATAAAATAATTCCAAAAAACAGGAATCAACATAAAGTCCTATTTAGATCCACAACTGATCATAGTCAGAAAAAAAAGGCTAAGCTAGGACATATAATTTACAGATGAAATGTATTGAAGAATCAAACATTATTAGGAAAATATTACACAAAGCATTAAAAGTAAATGTCATTACGCTGAATTGGCATTCCAGGCATAGTCATAACTCAACACAAAAGCTGTGACCCGTAATCCTCAACTTACGACTACAATTCAGCCCCAAATTTCCATTGTTAAGAAAGGCAATTGTTAAGTGAGTTTTACCCCATTTTACAATCTTTTTGCTGTAGTTGTTTAGCAAATCACTGTAATTGTTGAATAATTATGCCATCATTAAGTGAATCTGACTTTCCCCATTGACTTTGCTTGTCGGAAACTGGCTGGAAAGGTTACAAAAGGTGATCACATGACTTGGAACAGTGCAACCATCATCATGTAACCAGAGGTGCTGCATGTTCATAATAATCATAAATCACTCTTTTCTGTGCCTTAGTAACTTCAGTCATTAAATTTAAATTGAGGACTACCTGCACTTTGAAATGGTGAATCAAATCCTAATAATATGAATTAATCAAAAACAGTTTTTTAATATTCAGTTTAACCAAACCAACAGGCAGATTATTTTGCAAGTTGCATAGCTATTGTCTCCTCTGATTCGTTTGGAATGTTAAGACTAACTTTCATCTACTTCAGGGGTCTTCAAACTTGACAGCTTTAAGACTTGTGGACTTCAACTCAACTCCTCCTCCAGTCATGTTAGCTCAGGAATTCTGGGAGTTGAAGTCCACAAGTCTCAAACTTGCCAAGTTTGAAGGCCCTTTATCTACTTGATCACTGTCTAGTGACATTTGCTAAAGATCAGAGATTTGCTAAAGATCTGATGGAGAGAATTAATAAAGCTTGAAGTCATAACATGTATGGTATCATAGTGGTTATGTTAGCACTTCGCCCTGTTCATTTCCCATTTTATATTTAATTAATATGGAAATATTCCTGTACATATTCTTCTTCCTTGCCTTGAACAAAAACAAATATACTGAAAAAACACACAGCAATAGCCCACAGAAAATACTATTGCACTGAGATGCCACTTGATTAATTTTCCAATAAATATCTTAGAAAATATGTTCTATTGAATGCAATGGAATTTACTTCTAAGAAAGCATACTCAGAATTAACATAACTATTCCTAATAAATATTGACAGTAGCTAAAACACATAAAAAGTACTTAACTTCATTAGCCATAGCTAGATATTATCACATTTATGCTTAATATAGTATACAATATTGCATAAATTTCAGAGCATCCTTACATAAATGTTGAAAAGATTCTTAAATAAACTATTAATAACAAATGGTGTAATTAATAAAGATAATTCATATTGGCACCCTATAATATCAGACAGTCTGTATATTCTGAGTCACATCTCTTCAGCAAGGAACCTGATAGAACCCAGAAAGTGAATAATTCTCTGTCACAGTGCTGATCCAACAGCCTTCCACCTCTAGAAATTCAACAGCTCTAATGCTATTTTCCTCACTGCTCAACAGCAAAGGCTCTCAACCTTTTTTTAAAAAAAAATTCAGGGCACCCTCTGAAACTCATTTCTGTTTGTGACTCCTCTCAGCATCACTGTTAGCTGCAAAAAACTTTTTACTTTTCTATTCAAACCAGTTTTTAATTCCATTCCTATTCTAGCAGTTTTCTTGACAAGTTTTTTTTTTAAAGAAATTGTTCGCCATTGCCTGCTTCCTAGAACTGAGAGAAAGCGACTAGCCCAGTCACTCAGCTGGCTTTCTGCGTAAGGCAGAACTAAAAACAAAGTATTTGTAATAACTAACAAAAATGATTAATTCTATGCAGATAATGAATCAGTACTGAGAATAAGATGTGAATTATGGCACAAATATTAAGCCTGGCAATTAAGTTTAGATCACTCTCTCAAAACTTTACTGCAAAGCCCCTAGAAATGTAGCAAGGACCCTGGAAGGCTATGTAGCCTGTGATGAAGGCCATTGCTCTGTACTCGTTTTTCATTCTATATACTACCCAAAGTTGTTAACAGGTTTGGCAACCTTTGAAATAGAAATAATAAAGAAACTACCCAGAGCAACTTTATATTACAGACACTGCATCAGCATTTATTCTACATACTTTCCAAATATTTTACCTTCTGTATCTTTTGTGAACTCAATCATTCAACCAGCATAAACAATATCCTTACCATACCTGAATTACCACGTACGGGTAATAGCGAGGAACATAAGACTAGAAACTTTTTCACCTGTCCAATATTAAGTAAGTGTATATATTAAGTAAATATAAGTAAATACAAGTATATCACCAATTGATAGAAGATATTTATAGGTATTCCTTAAATACCAGAGATTCTAAGCAAAAAAGGGCCTTCAATGGAACAACTTGGTTTCACTCAGCTGGTAAGTAAGTAGGTAAGTAAGTATGCACTCTCCCATATTTTCCTCACAAATGCTGCTTATTACGGGTCCTCTCCTCCAATGTGATCAACCACAGTGGGCACTGCAACACCCCAACAAACTCTTTTCTCGCAAGTTACCCGTTTACATTTGCATCCAACAAAGCAATTCCAGATAATAAAATGAAATGAAATAAAATCCAGAACAGAAGTCAGACGAAAGACCCAGGGCAATAAATATAATTGCATCGATGCCAACGCAGGTATTGGGGGGGGGGGGGCGCGGGAAGGTGAGGCAGAGGCACCTACCTCTCCCACTCGGAGGCGGTGGTGAAATCCGTGATCTCGAACACTTCGGACTCCGGCTGTGGGGGGGAAAAAAAGAAAAGGAAGCAGCAAGTGAGGCACCGAGCGGGAAAATAAGAGCGTTAAAAAGCACCGGCCCCGCAACGCCACTTTCCCGCTAGCCAGAAGGGGGTATTGGGGGCGGGGGTTCAACCGGCAGACGAACCTCACTATCAGCCGCCATCTTGAGAAGCAGCGTCCCGAAGGGCATGACGGGAGGGACACAAGACGGCGCGCGGCACGTGGCACAGTGGCGCGGGGTTGGGGCCAGAGTTGCGGGGGGTGGGGGGAAACCTTTTTTACTTTTTTCCTCTGAGGGGATATTTTTTTCCCCCGTCCTTTTGTTGCTGGGTCGCCTCGGGGAAGTAGTTTGGTGTTTTTTTTTTTGTTTAGGCTTGGGATGAAGAGGCTTGTGGAAATACTCCCTGGCAATTATGTGTTGTCAGGAAAAACTGCAGGAATGTGGTCAGGGAGTCAAGCTCAATTCGCAGATGTCCTGATGTTTGTTTATTGTCGCGAAGATGAGCAACTCGATTGGGGGAAACTGAGGGAGCAAGAGAAAGAAAAAAGCGCTTCGGCTATACGACATAGTCCTGTGGGAAATTAAGACGGGGTGCATTGTTTTCTCCGCGCCTCACAAAATCTGTGGTTTGTTTTAAGTCATCCTGGGAGCTTCTATGTGGCGAAGGAGAAATGGGACCCTGGTGCTGAGGCAATAAGAGGCTAGGCCCTGGGGCGTCAGTTTTTTTCCTGTGCCACCTCTACTTGAAGAAGTGGTCTCTAATCATACACAAATTCAATACGTAGAAGGTTTTAAGGTTCATTTCAATTATTTCTGAGGAACAGATAGGTAAATAAAAGCCATGCTTTGTCTGTGTCTGTCTCTCTCCCCGTCCACACACACAACACAGAAGCCAGCTACATCTATCTACATATTATCAATCCAGCCCTCATTTGAGTTATCCCATCCAGATCTTGAATGCCAGAGTCATTCACTTTTAACATTTTAAAGAGGATTCTGACTCAAGATGCAATTAAAGCAAAAGTTAACAGAGAATGGAATTAAAGTGGTTAAATAATATTCACCAAAAATACATAAAGATATTAGGACTGAGATTATGCACTATGGTTGTGAAAGCTAAGATCTTGGCAATGTCAGATTAAGTACCGGTATTATTTAAACCTAGACCTTGGAGATCACAGAGTAAACGGCCAAAATTCTGAATGGTAAAACCTAGACAAACAAAAAAGGGAGAAGGCTGCATGTTCAACTCATTTCTGTTGAAGTGGTAAGGTGTTGGGTCATATTTTTTCAATTTCAAAAATTGAAACCACAAGCTTGTCAATATTCAATTGGCAAACATGTCTTAACAGATAATTTAAGATATTTTTTTTTTTTTTTGCAAAGAAAGAATTTCTTTTTATCAACTTTCCAGAAAGCGTTCATCTTCTTCTCATGGTTACCAAATAATAAGTGAGATAATGCATTTTATGTGTGATATATATTCTTAAAATTTTGCTGCAAACCTCAAGCTTGTTAATCTAAGATCTAGATTTCTCATTTGCTTTCCCAGCCCAGCTAAGCCTCTTTGTTCAGTCATTCACTCTGCAAAATACCCAAAAGAGAGTTACCTTGGTGACAGCTTGTAAACTAAACATTCAGAGCCTAACTCTCAATATCAGAAGGATTTGTGCGGAGAGAGGAAGGATCTTCAAAGCTTAGCAACTCTACAATCATGTTTCTTCCTTTCTTGAAAGTTTATATTGGGAGAATCAAATTGAAGGTAAGATAGAATTTCAGTGGAACATCTTTATTTTTCTTCCCCGTAAGTAAAATTCAGCATTGTATATGATGTGATCAAAAAAGCTGCTTTAATATACAGTTTACTATTACTGCAACTGCATTGATCTAAGTACTGTATACTACAGTACATAATTTTAATTCATACATTGTATTTGTGATACAAGTATATGAATTCTACTGAATCCATGTTTATTAGTTTTGTTAATAATACCTAAAACTATATTTGTTGGTGATGTCATAAAGGAAGTAGAATTTGGAATATTTTGATCTCCCTTGCTAGATGAAAATTTGTATTGGACTGCTTCTCAATTAGTAGGATGATTTATAATTAAGAAATGTACTTTCTATTATTTCCATCTATTACTCAAATGTGGGTGTGGTAAATGGCACAAAAGAGCATCTTAAGATGAGTGAGCTTGCTACTGGAATCTTTTTAATAAAATCTCAGCTGACATACCCAATATAAAAGGAATGCCCTATTGTTTGGAAGCCCATTGTGTTCATTCTTTTGTATCTCCATTTGTTATTTATTTTTACCCAGTTTTTATTTATAAATAACTTAAGGGGGACAAACATACCTAATACTATTTCCTCCTTATTTTCCCCTCAACAAGAATCCTGTGAGGTGTGTTGGACTGAGAGTGATTGAATGGCCCCAAATTACCCAACTGGCTCACCTCCCAGAATTCCACTGTCCATGCTTTTTGGAAATGCTACAAATGGTGGTCTTGGCCTCCACAGAATAATTTTGTGTCCTAATAATCCTTTGGATTTTGCGCTCACTTAGCTTTTAAGTGGTTTAAACTAAAACAGTGAATGTGTTACATATACCAGTTTTGTACCTTTTTGTTCCACTAAGCCTGGAATTTTAGCTACAGAATGGGACCTGGCTGATAAGGATGCTTTTATTGTGGATTGTTCTTCTTCCCATTGTAACTTTTAAAAAGTAAACTAAGTGCTTTTTTTATTAAGTATTATATTTAATTCACATAGGAGATTTCTAGGTAAAATATTAATAACAGTTTTATATTATTTTCTGCAACCTACAGAAACTTTTTGACAACCTATCAATGCAATACAACTTCTTCCAGTAAGAAAGAACACTAAAAAGACAATAATGCGAATGATCTTTCACATATTCTGAATTCTCATTCACCATTCAAGAAAAATGACCTTCAGGCAGATGGTCTTTATCACATCCTCAGTAATACATCTGGAAGCTTCTCTGTGCATTTGGGATATTCATATTCATTACTCAGAATAACATTGCATATAGTCTTACTCTATGGCTACTCCATAGCCCAAGAAATTGAATTACAGTTGAAATGCAACTGATCTGAGGTATATCTACCAACTGTACAACCCACAAAATACTAATGATCTCTGAGAATATAGATAATATAAACAATAGTTGTGATTTTGATTGTTCTGATAGTTGTCAGAGCCCAAGTGAAATATTTCCTGAAGCAAAAGAATCAGAATGTTAATCCTTCAAGACAAATATATTTTTAAGTCTAAGTGTGTGGGGGAAAAGATTTAACAAGTATCGCTAAATTAGATTAAGCAAAGCAGAATCATCAGAGGTGAAAACTTCACAACAAAAGTGTAAAGAAGGCTGGATTTGGAAGTGCTGTTGCGAACAAAGCTTACAAAGAACATGCTTTAATGACTTAATATCTTAGTAGGTCTTGAATCATCTGATACCATTGTTTGACCAACAGATGGTTTGAATAGAAAATGTAATTGAATCTGAAGCTGCTGAAAGCAAGATTATGCTTGTCCCAAAGAAAGAACATGCTATCTAACATAAACCAAAGCTTCAATATTTTTGCTCACAAGAAGAGTGGTAGATATAAAGGAAATAGCAATAAATGTCTTTTAAACACTAAACTCTGTGCCAAAATGGCTCAGAAGTTAATAATTTGGGGTAAGAATTCTATTCAGCATCAAAATAAGATAAAAAATCCTATTTCTCATTCTTTAGAATTGCCTCATGAAGAGACTGAGATATCTTCAAAACTTCAGAAAAAAAATCTCCAACAGGAGAAAAAGTGCTTCCAGCATAATGGTCAGAGTTCTACAAAGCAAGTGCTTCCCTGTATTCCCCCAAATTCTGTTAGTTTGAGAAAAACAATCTCTCCATTGCCCGTTGGACAAGCACAATCCCCAGTAGACCATTTGAATCTGAAATACAGTGACATGTTCAAGGAAATACATTCTAACGACAAAGGTCCTGGCATTTATGAAATGTTTGGAACTCCAGTATATTCCCGTAAGCCTGATAGGTGTGGTGAGCATAAGAGTAACAGGAATGTGTGTTCTGCTCCAACTGGATGGCATAATGATACGAAATATAAATCCAACTGTTTCAATGGGAAGAAGAATAGCAGAATAAAACGTCCCCAGAATAAAACATACTCTAAATCTCACAAGAACATCAGTATTAAACCAAAGTTAAAGGAGAAGGAAGTTGCACCAAAAAAGGTTTCCAAGTTAACAGATTACAGTATAGAACAGGGCAAAGATGTGACTGTCCCTTGTGCTGATCTGCAGATTCGGCCAAAAGAAAGCACTGGTTCAATTTGTGAAGATACTGATCAGCAAGCTCAGATTTCCATTGGGTTTCCTGAACTCGCTAAGCAAAATGAAGTATTTCCTAATTCAGGCTTGTCACCAATTGAAGAAGTCTCTTTGGAATATACTTCAGATGATTATGATGATGGAGATGAAGTTTTTCCCATGAAAACATTTGCCACCAATGTTCAGGAGTTACTTTGGCCAGAAGTTAAAGTTCATGCAGAATACGCTCCTTTCTTAAGCTGTGTGCAATATACAAATGAACCAAACAATGCAAACAACAGTAGGACTTCAAGGGATGGACAAAACAAAACAGCTGATTGCCTTGTGGAGCAGGAAGCAAGCCAGATTTTACATTATGAGTATAATCAAAAGCCGTCTACATCCTTTTTTACAGACCAAATAAGCTTGCCTCACCTAAAAAATCTCCAGTTTGAAAATGTCAGTGTAGCAAATATGACAACTTCATGGACTGACTATGTTGCAAACTCAGTCTCTCAGTCATATACAAATATCTTTGGAAATGAAGATTATAAGAAAGTAACAGAAGACACATTCTGTTGCTCAGTCACTGAACTGCTTTCTTTGAATGGGACAGATGGCAACAATTCTAGCTCAATGACCAGAAACATAAATGTGGAGGCACAAAGTGGAGACTGGAGAACAGCAAAAGTTAAAAATAATAAGGTAAGTGAGCACTATTGCATCCTACATTTATAGTATTACAGTTAATTTAATATTTAGGCTTTGCTGTACTTCACTGTCCACATTTTTCTTCTTATTTGTTCTTTCTTTGAGCAAAATGGGCTCTACATTCTCTTAGATCCCTATTTAAAAATATTAAAGCATAAGAATTTGTTTGCTGGATCAAACTAATATTTTTTCTAGTCCAGCAGATAACCTGATCTGATCATACACAAGCAGAAAAATCATGACTCTTTGCTGTCTTCACCATCTGATGTTCATTTTCTTTGTTTAGACTATATTTTTACTTACTTTTGTTTTATTATTTAAAATATATAGCCACTCTGGATGGCTCCCAATCAAATTACTTAATAATTTTTTGACAATGCTAATCCATTGTATATTCATCCTAGAGATATAAAACAATGTGTCTCTGAATAATTATTTTAAATTGAATACTGGCAACTTCAGTCTTAGTCTCAGGGCTGTGATATGACAAGCAGAAATTCTTTCCAATTTTAAATATTGTGGTGTAGAATTTACAACATGTAAACATAACTCTCAAAACAACTGACAAACAATCTGTATTTATTTTCTATTGTTCCTCTAGCTGTATTTTGTTTTTCTGCCATCATTTGCAGAATTCTTGTCCAGATTTCATGGAATATGAGGAAGGAAATCCACTTCTACATGAAATTGCATTTTCAGAGAACAGCTTAATTAACCAAGAGTCTATTTTGTGGACTAAAGGTGAAATCCTTGGAAAAGGAGCATATGGCACAGTAAGTTAATTGAATATGACTGCATTTTGTGTACAGTATTCTAAGTATTTTAATATTTCCTTTTGGACAGAATCTCTCAAAATGGTGCACAAACTTAAAAGACACTGAGATATAAACTTGGAATCAAATTAAGCTTCTGAATATTGTTAAAACAACCGTAGAGAAATATCTCAACCGATTTCTTTATGTAAGACATTCAGTTGATTTTGTCCATCTTCCGTTTGGAATCTGGCCTTTGATTAAATATCCTAGAAATACAAATGTTTACATGCATAGCTTATTAAGGAAGAAAATCTCCACAACTGATTTCAGTGGGGATTGAAATGAACAAAGTACTGTATTTGTTTGCTTGTTCATTTAATTTATATAGCCGCCCATTTCAAACCAGTGATTATAAGGAGATATGGTAGGAGACTTAAGAGTGGGCCATTCCTTGGCAAGACAGGAACAATGTCCCATACTAGTTTCACATTCCAGCTTCTGGGTCTTAATCCCTGGACCCAATCAGAAGACAGACAATTAAAACAGGAAGAAATGAAATACAAACAGCAGCCAAGAGATAACTATAATCTGACAGTATCAGGGTAACAGTGGTGGTATTCTACCTGTTTGGGCGAACCAATAGTAAAAAAAAACCAGCTATTGGTACAGCTGAACCAATATTTCTTCCCCCCCCCAATGATCAGCTGTTCTGACGATTAGTTGTGCTGGGATCCTCCTCGCTGTCTTACCGCTCCGCCCAGGCGGCTTTCTTGAGGCCTAGGAGCCAAAAAACGGAGCACGGGGGCGGGGGGGGGGTGCTGCTGTAAAAAAAGCCATGCCCACCCAGTCACATGCCCACGCCCACCTAGCCACGCCCACAGAACCAGTAGTAAAAATATTTGCATCCCATCCCTGCAGGGTAACCCTGAAATGGGGCTCTTTACACATTCAGAATCCTAGTCCCAGACATATATCCAGGGCTTCAAGACCCTCCAAAAGACCAGAGAAGTCAGGCATCCTAACCTCAGGTGGGAAGGTGTTCCAAAGGGAGGCAATACAGCAGAAAAGGCATATCTCCTGGTTCCTGCCAGCTTGATGGGACCTGGTCTATGCCCATCCTGCCAGACCAGACTGGATGGGTAGAAACAACTGGAAGTTTTTCAGGTTGTTGTTGTTCACTGCCAAATCCAAGGTAATAAAATCTTGTCTCTGTGCAACCTAATTGTGGAGTAACACATAATATGTGCAGGTGTTAGTGTAGCTTGGTTTCAACAATATATATGTGACCATATGTGATACCTCAACTTGATGCCCTGTTTCAAAGGTGAGAAGTTACAAGAGTTGCAAGAGGCTATGACTAAAGTAGAGAGAAGCTAATGATAGTGCTAATGTATCAGCTATCCAGCAGCAGCTTTTCTAGCTAATCTCATCATGGGGTTGGCATTGGACTCTTCCAAGTTATTGGTCCTGGGAGAGAAATTTCAGACACATTGCAAACTGCGGCTTCTTTCAGGGCAGGAACTGCACCTACCACTGCATGGATCCAACTACATGTCACCTCCCAGGAAGCATTGATCAGTCAGAGGGGACATGGATCCAAAACATAGGAGGCAGCATGATGTCACGGCTGTATTTCCTCAGTATTAAAAAGCTCAAACACTTTTCAGTTAACCATGCAGGATTTTACCACAATCACCCCATGAGGACCGAATCACCGTAAATTTCTATCCACACGTGCAACAGGAACATATCCATTGTATAGTCACCTTAGGGATAGAAAGCCAATATCTGAATAAAATATGCACATTTTGCTACTTTTACTGCAAGATGGTCCTTAACAAAAGACTCATGCTCAGCCAAATGCATATTACATGTCCTTCAAGACTTGGGAGATAGGACGAAGTAAGTTAAAGTGGTCCTTTTTCTTTCCAAGTGAGCAGTTATGGTTGGTGATTATGGGAGAAGAGGGACCAGATCTGTAGCATCTGCTATACAGGATGGGGCCTTCTACTCCCTTTTTTTACTTCTCCCCCATGTTTTTTCAAACCCATGTGAAATCCCTGGGAAAGGGATAAGTAATCAGTATGCTGATGATATGGGCCAGATGCGTCACGTGCTGGCCATGTTCACGCCTGCTTTAGCAAAAGGGGAAAAAAAGTCCTGATATGTCACATGACGCCACCCTAACAAGGTGAGTTTGACACTCCTGGCCTATTCCAATGTTAGCCTGGATTGGGTCACACTGTCCTTGACCTTGCAGCTCTATTATTTAAGGGGTTGAATCAATATTGCTGCAATGTTTTTTTCAATTTGGATGTCATATAAATTGTAACTTTCCTTGGGACTTTGATTTGGCAGGATAGAAATGAAATAAATAATAGAATTGTACAATTACATTATAGTATCATAAAATGATTGCATTGGAAGATGCCATTGAGTCTACTTTCTACTAAGGAATAAAAACTACAGCGCTTTTTTAAAATAATTTTTAATTGAGTTTTAACAAAACAAATAAAACATCTTATTTAAGTACAGCATGGTTCTGGGTATCACATTTTCATACAGACACAATTTCATATGCATATTCATCTTATGTATTCAACTTCATATCTTATTACTCTTTTTCCAACTTCTCACTATTTCTCCCTTTACTTCTCTTAATTTTCTTTTATGGTTATCTCATTTTCTTCTTATTGTATTTCTTTTACCTAAATTTCTATATCTTTGTATTCATTGTACTTATACTTTCGTCTGTCTTGTTTACAATTTCATATGTTCTCTTCCAACATTCTTAAGAAGCAAAATTTCCCTTATGATTGCCAATCGAAGTGCAACACCTTTAAAACACATGAAATCTCATTAAACATTGAATTTGTGCATTCTAAAATTATAACATTCAAATTTCTAATATCTATTTTATATCATGTAGATCTTATTATTCAGACTCTGTTGGTACTTCCCCTTGAAAATGTAAAAAGGAAAATTCTAAAAACATAGCAAAAACGATATATATATATATATATATAAACATTAGTAAACAAAATAGTTATTCAAAATCATTCTAGTACTGTATGAACCTTGTAAATCTTTCACATTTCTTTTCAACATTTATCAATCTTTGAGAACAGTTGAAATGTCTCCCTCCCTTCATTATTACTTAACTGTTAATAAGCATATCATTGGATAGTCATACAGTTTTATCTTATAAATTATTTACTATTAATAAGCAAAATAATTATTCAAATTCATTCTAATAACTGGTATAAATTTCTTATAAATCTTTCACATTTCTTTTCAATATTTTATCAATCTTTAGAAACAATTGCAATGTTTCCCTCTCTTCTTTATTATTGCATTAATTATAAATAAACATACCATTACATAATACAGTTTTATCTCATAGATTATTTATTTCATTTCTAACTCATTACAGTATTCTACTGTCACAGCACTATCTTTTGTACCTTTGCAGAATACTCACTTTTAACTTAATTTAGCCATTGTCTCTGTGTTTTCTAGCTGAGCAAATACCTTTAATCCTAATACATTTCCCCTTTTTCTTTATTTCATTTTTTGTCCCCCATAAGTTCTTTCCCTTTCTATCTTTTCCCCCTTTTTCTCATTCCTTTTTTTATACCCTTCTCTCTCTAATTTTTCCTTCTGTAGTTTTTTCTGCTTCTCCTTGCTTTTATACTTCTTTTTCAGCCTTTTTTTTCCTTTTGGCTGTTCCCTTTGATCTCAAACTTTTAACTCCTTTCCCCCGCTTTCCCCTTATTACCACACTTTGCATTATTTGATCATTGAAAATGGCTTCTTCTTTGTCCCGCCCTTCTTCTTGCTCTTGAAGCTTTTCCTTTTGCTTTTCACAGTTCAGGATCTCCATTTCAAAAAATTCAGATACGAAGCCAAAGGATCTTCCTCCCCTTTCTGCATCTTCTTTCTGTTTTTAAAGACTCATCTTCAATTCCTCCAGGAGTGATGGCATTTTAAACACTTTTGAACAACCACCCGATTCACTTTAAGTAAAAACAGAAAAAGAAAGAAAAAACCAGTGCCAAAAACTTTTTTTTAAATCACCAAATGATCCCAGACTGTTCCTTCTTGTTTCTTTCCTTTACTTTTCCTTTGTGTGGGTTACTGTATCTTTTAATAAGGTTTCAGTTACAGTGTATCTTCAGGAGTCTTTTCAAAGTTTCACTGTTAATCCTCTTTATTTTTCCAGGTGGCACTCCCATTATTCCAAGTCCCACCCTTTTGCTTCCACTATTCTCCTTTTTAGGGCTTTAAAATGACCAAGAAAAAATCTTTATTCTCCTTTTGACACTTAGATTTCAGGTTAAGGTTGCCTATTAGTGTCAAAATAGATTAATATAAATTTCTTTGCATACCATTTGTATTTGTCAATATAAAGGTAAAAAAGGGGTTTTTAACCTCCTTTTCTCTCTCCTTCACTGCTTAAAAGTCTTCTTTCAGAAGTATCCCTCTAGGTACTTTTAGATTCAGGGTACCTTTCTTAGATGTTCTCTGTTGTTTAGCCCGGTCTGTCCTGCTTTCCTCTTTGTCTCCCTCCTGCACAATCTTATCCAGTCGGGTTCTTCTTTGAGGTGGCCATTTCTCACCACCGCTGCAATCGCCTTTGGGGAAGGGAGTTTAGACCAGCCAAGGAGGAGAGATGCGGCTCCCCTCCACTCAGCTATCAATCTCCCCACTCTTCACCACCTCTACGGGGTGGCTTCAGCCCCAAATCAAAAGGATCAGGGTGCTCCAGCGGCGAGCACAGATCGAAACCACGATTACAGATTTCGGTTTGTCACTGAAGAGACCCAAACCAGAAGTCCAAAACTACAGCACTTTTGACCAATTTCTATCTAGCACCTCACTATTTAACCAATTCCTTGAACCGCTGTTTGACATTTAGGGAGAGGGGAATTTGGACTTCTAGTGCTGAAGTGATTAAGCAGGATTAAATAATAATGTATACTGTTGTTTATTTGTTCTATGACTTGCTTTGATATTTAGGTGTACTGTGGACTTACAAGCCAAGGACAATTAATAGCTGTGAAACAAGTAGCACTGAATGCATGTGACCAAGCTGGGACTAAAAAGGAATACCAGAAACTGCAAGAAGAAGTTGAAATTTTGAAAAACCTAACACATGTCAACATTGTAGGATATCTGGGAACAAGTTTAGAAGATAACATTGTAAGCATCTTCATGGAGTTTGTTCCTGGTGGTTCCATTTCCAATATTATTCATCGCTTTGGGCCACTATCAGAAATGATATTTTGTAAATATACAAAGCAGATTGTACAAGGAGTTGCATATTTACACGGAAACTCTGTGGTTCACAGAGATATTAAAGGAAACAATGTTATGCTTATGCCTAATGGCATAATTAAACTCATAGACTTTGGATGTGCAAAGCGCTTAGCCTGCGGGAGTCTGACTAATGCACATAGTGAACCACTGAAATCTGTGCATGGCACTCCGTATTGGATGGCACCAGAAGTGATAAATGAATCTGGCTATGGAAGGAAATCAGATATCTGGAGCATTGGCTGCACTGTTTTTGAGATGGCCACGGGAAAACCACCATTGGCTACTATGAATAAATTAGCAGCCATGTTTTACATAGCTGTTCACAAAAGACTTATGCCTTCCCTACCCAAACATTGCTCAGATGAAGCTGTTGATTTTGTACAACTGTGCTTAACAAGGTAAGTGATTCAACACCTAAAATTAAACAGTTTTATTCGCATTAAAACAATTAACACGATCAGATTTATTGAGTTTGAGCTCCTTAAAAAGAATGGTTTAGACTTTGCAGTAAAATCACAATTAAACTTGCGGTAACGTCCAATTTTTGTGACCTTTCCAGTCAGGTTTGAAGATAAGCCTCTTCTATACAGCGTGGGCTCATATATCCTTCACTTGTATGTCATTTGTCTTCTGTAAAAGCCACTAAGGTACTTCAAGCACCTGTCAGGTAGTTAGTTCAAATCTTTTTATAGGGAGGAATATGCCATTATTTTAATATATGGGGATCCTTGGCCAGACATTACTGAGCTGCAATTCCCTATGTTCCATCCTCTTGGACATGCTGCCTAGAATTGTTGCAGGTTATAATTCAGTGACAGTTGAAAAGATGTAGATCCCCCACCCAATTCTATGTAAATAATTATCTCCTTCCCTCTCTGTACAAGCATACTTAATACTCCTGCCTCCCATTCCCCCACCCCTCTGCCCAACAAATGCGTTTGTGAGAGAGGCCCCAAGTCACCCAGTCAACTTTCATGCTCAAGGCACATCTAGAACTTGCTGTCTTCTGGTTTCTAGTGCAGCACCTTCACTGCTATATAAAATTGATTTTCCAAAACCTAGCTTTTCCTCCAGCATTGCAAATGGATTTCCTTTGAAAAATCAGAAATTTTCCCTTCTCTCTAATCCTTTTTGGGTCCATAGATTGATCCAGAAAACTCCTAAAATTTCTAGAGATGTGAGAGCTTCAGGAATCAAAGGAACATCTCCTTGCCATAAATTACCTTTTAGCAGAAAACAACCATATGGGCACAATGGTTAGAATGTAGTATTGCAGGCTGATTCTGCCCACAGCTTGAAGTTCGATCCTGACCAACTCAAGGTTGACTCAGCCTTCCATTCTTCCTGAAGACCCAGATTGTTGGCAATATGCGGATTCTGTAAACCACCTAGCACTGTAAAACATCATTAAGTGGTATTATAAGTCTAAGTGCTATTGCTACTTTCCATTTAAGACTAGACAAACCTGTCTACCTGCCTATCTTGTGAGAGCAATTGTTTTGAAAGCAGATTACAGTAAGACTGGTAACTAATCCAATAAGAAGGTCCACTCCTGTGGAACCTTTGAAGATGGCCTTAAGTTTTGTCTAGCATTACGCAGGAAGAGATGAGCCTTCCAATACCAGAATGACAAATTGTAAAGGATTTGAAACATTTTTCTTACAAACATATTAATTTCCAAACTGTTTCCAATGGTAACCTCAGCTATAGACAATTGATGTCAATATCACATACAAATTCATCTGATACATAGCCATCTGAAAAGAAAATAAGGGAACACCTGTAATATGAAAATTTTCATTATCCTTTAAATAACCACCAGGAACCAGGGTTGCTGGGCAGTAGAAAACATTCGGTCATAACTGAATAAGTTATTTGTTTTTACAGATGGCCATATGGCATTAAATTTAAAGATTCTTAGCTACATACAGAACTTGGAGCAATGTGAATACTTTGGCATATTTTTTCAGTGTGTAACACTATTTTTTTGGCTTTGAATAGATAAAACATTAATGTACCGTGCTCTAAGAATCAGATGTCCTTTTGGAGAAATTATTAAACAGGTAGAAAATCATGAGTAACATGGTTTGTACCAAAAGTTTTATTCTCTTACTGTTGTTTTTTAACACTTCATGCAGGGACCAACATGAGCGGCCTACTGCCCTAGAATTGTTGCAGCACCCTTTCATAATAAGAAACTCATGAAACCTGACAATGCTTCTATCAAGCAATATATAAACTAATTTGTGTGGAAAAATGTCTTCTAAATTGAACTGTTGGTATAAAACTTGTAAAAGTTGCTGAAATAGTAAATCTTTACCTTTTCTGAACAAACTTCTTAGCATACGCTTTAGCGTGTTTATGTGTGTGCATGTAAATCAGTTCAAAACATTAGCCCTATCAGGCTTTTTTTTACTCAAACAATTCACATTCCTGCCTTTCCTCTCCAGTGGAGTCACTTAGAGTGGATAAGCTTTTGAAGCAAATTGTAACCCTAAGCTACAAGTAAAATTTTTTATAGTCCTGGACAAAAAGTATTTTCAAACTCTAGATTCTGGCATAAAATGAAGAGTCCAGTGTAAGTTACCAGCACACAAAGTATTCCTAATCTCAAATTTCAGTTCTTAACAGTACTTTCAAAACTTACTGTATTACATGTAAATGTGGGAATGTGAAAGCACAATCCAGTGAAAATGTCCTGAGATGTAAATACCTTTATATTAACCATTGGATCACACTTATAGTGCATATTTGTATATGTTAAGCAATATTACAGATAGATAAGACTTGTTACTCATGTCTATATTTTCCATAGACAGTTTCAACGAAGTTCAAAAACTATTTGAAAAATTACTTAAAGCTGTGTGTGTATATGTATATGTATGTGTATACATAATTCACTCATAGCTAAGCCCATGTATGTGTATATGTATATATATGTACACACACAAACATAGCTAAGCCCATATATTAATAAACCAACCTTCAAATTTTTAACCAATTTTTATTTACAGGTGATACCATTAAAAAGTGTCACCGGCAAATAAGATATGCATTTTTCATGGTATTTTGATTAAAATAATTAGAAGTTGTTTGGCTATGGATAGACTTATATGTAACTATACACTATAAATATTTACTGATAAACTGAAACTGATTAATTTGGGTGCATTTGGGAGCCTAAAACACTTGGTTTATTTATACAGTATAATTTAAAATGGAATTTACTGGAATTTAGTGATATTAAGAATTGTTTTTAATACACACTATGCTGAAAAAATGCCCATTCTTCTACCTGCTTGCAAATGGAAGAATTTTCTTCACTATCTTTAGCTCCTTTTTGATGTAACTTGATTTCCTTTGTAAACTTTTGCATGAGTCATCCTATCCTGCAGGTGTCTTGTCATCCATTTCACTCAGATTTACATCACTGTCAGCACTAATATATATTTATGTTCATAGCAGTTGCTCTACCTTGCTTTTGCTGCTCTATAAAACATTTCTACACTGTTTTCAGCAAGCGTAGCTTTACAAGGAAATCTTTATAAATTGCAATAATCTGGGAACTAAGAACTTAGTAAAAATTCTTATCTGCAGATTTGGTATCCTTCCTATATTGCTTCCTATGTGGAAAAACAGTAATTGAGAAGCATGTTTATACAGAATAAGAAATTGAACTTTTAATTTTAATTAGCTTATTTGTACTAAATATACCCTTATCTAGAAGTAAATTACCAGTTGGCTGCCTTCCATCTTTCATACTTGAAACTAGCAGTAAATTTATGCTTTTTAAAAATATGTATTTGGAGTCTTGCAGTTTTTGTATGTGAAAGATTTAAAATACTTTCCAAAATCATATATGCCAGTTGCTCAGAATCCTTTTAATGGATAGGAAATTTGAAATCTTTTATTAAAGTTGCATGCTTATGGAATTGACCAGATCATAGCAACTAATTGGAAAAGAAATGAAGTTTATTCTGAAGTAATTATTTTAAGCCGAGTATTGTTAAGTCCACTTTATAAATTTCTTACACATCTTTGATTTACAACTATTAGTTTAGAAAACATTTGAAGTGACAGTGGCACTGGAAAAAGTGACTGATGGGTCCTTGCAGTCACATGACCACAATTTGTGCACTTGTCAATTAGCATGTATTTAGAATGGTTATAATATCCCAAGATCAGGCAATTATCTTTTGCAACCTTCCCAGCCATCTTCTGACAAGCAAAGTCAATCTGGGATGCTGAATTTACTTAACGACTGCATGGTTCATTTAACAACTGTAAGTTTTAATTGTGGCAAAAAAGCTTGTAAAATCAGACATGACATTCTTAATTCCTTCACATAATGATGGATGTGCCAGTTTCAATTCTGGTTGTAACTTGAAGTCTGCCTATAATTTATTCAAGTTTAGATATGAGCCACCTCAAAAAGAAAAGGCCATATTTAAATGCAAGAATTAAAGCCATGCAGGTATGAGTTATTCAAAGCTCAGCACAGTAGCCTTGTCAAAATTAATTAAATAGATAGAAATGTGATACTTTCAGGGTTGGGCTTTATAGGGCTATCACTTTGATGACTATGACAAGGTCTGCTGTGGTTCATTGCAATTATAGTCAAAATCAACTTATCTATACTCCCTATGATTGAGCTTCACAATTATGCTTTTTTTCCTTCACAGAATGAAAATTTATTTTCCTTTGGCAACAAGCATCTTTGTTTTCAGAGTTCAAATTTCTTAAACCAGTTTAATAGTTATAATCCTATTTTTCCCATTTCTTTCAGATTCCCTGAACTTTAGCTATTTAAATCAGGTGCTACTATATGCTATTAAGCATTGTTTCATCTCTGGATATATTCTTACCCAAGACTATTTCCTTGTAACTTCACTCCTCTTCCATAATGATTTCATTTTCAATTCCTCTTTGCAGTTTGTTGCCTTCTATAGCACAAATACAAAAAAACCCATCCCTCTTGATTTCAGACATTGCCTACCTATTCTCTGAATGGAATATAGATTCCTTAACAGCATATTTGGAATGAGAGGAAAATACCGTAAGTTTTTAAGTTAAAAGCTAGAGCTATATGGAATACAAAGTTAGCACCTTCAGGTGTTGTTGGCTTTCAGAGATAAATGTTTTATACATTTTTAAATAGTGCATACCTCCTAGGGAGCCTGACATATGCTTTAAAGCAGGATATACAGACAAATTATTTCAAATTAAGTTTAGAATCTAAGAATATGAATAGAATTCCTCCATTGAAAAGAGCAGCAAAAGATCAAAAGCTTCTTCTTTGCTATTTTTCTCCAAATTTCATGGCAAGAGTAGACAGGGAATTTCATTCTTACCAAATATCCAGGAGTTAAGCCATCAGGTTATGCAACATATTTTAGCACTTAACAATATTTATCTTTCTTGAGAGCATTCTTCCCCAGAGTAAATTTCTTAACTATAGGGGTTAATGATTATAAGCAATAACAAATTATAAAATTCAATTACTTTAGATCATATTAATTGAAAGTGAAAATGCAACTAGATCAAAGAATTAAGCTATTACAATTCCATATACCTCTATAACTGCATTGAAAGTTACATGGAATAGACTTCTGCTGAGTTTATGTGCCTAAAAAGGGTAAGATTTATATCAGGGGTGTCAAATTCATGTCCTCATGAGGTATCTTGAGCTTTTCTTTGCTAAACCAGGTGTGGGCATCACCAGCGTGTGATGCATCTGGCCCACAGGCCATAAGTTTGACAGCCTTGATTTATATAAACCTCTCAAACATGCATTCCAGTGTGCCACCTAAAAATACATTCCAAGTGAAGTAAAATAATTCTTCCTCCCCCCACCAAGTAAGATCCGTTTTCTATGAACAGAAGTTCTTGTATTCAAGAAATAGCAAGTTCATTAACATATTAAGTAAAATTCTACAGATCTTGTTGAGTTGGATCAACATTATATAATTTGGATTCTTTATTTGCAGTTCTTCAATTAGGTTTATATCTTAAAGAGAATCCAATTTATAGGAAAATGAAGATGTACAAAAAATAAAATCCAGTTCGCATATAATAAATGTAAAGAACACAGGAGAAAGGGCAGACTTGAATCCCAATCCTATGGTTACTTGTGGAGAAATACAGAGGATTGGGTTCTAAGTATTTAAATTGAAGTTCAAATATTATTTCAACAAATGTAAAATTCAGGGGTTGTTTTTATTTAGATCTATAGCCATGTGTCCATTATATCTTAAAACTGCAATGGATAAAATGCATTCCAAGGCAAAGCTACAAGCTGGGAAGCAAATACTATGAGACTTTGTAAATAAATTTTATTTAAAGCAAACATTTACTGGTTTGTCTTCTTCCTACTGGGAATCACAGTTTAAAACATTTAATCTTTCTTACACTGTATGTCAAAAGCTCTTGAGGATTTCATAGCATAAATGAGGTAGTGAAGAAAGTCTAAAAAGGCTTAAAATGCAACAACGCAGGATCAAATTTCACAATACAGGGTTTAAGAAATATTTCTCAATATAAAAATTACAAGGGTGAAGAAGTAACAAGTATGGATGAAAGAGACTGAAGAGCTAAGGAGATTAAAATTTAAAGATACATTATTCATAGTGCCCATGTTAAAGTATTAAAAAGACACCCATAATTCAAATAAAATGTATTCAAGTATGCAGTACAAAGTTTTGCATTACCGGCAACTAAATATTACATAGTAATTGATGCAACAGTAGTTACATTATTTTGTAACCACTAATTGGATACATGCTCAACCATTATCTAAAGCACTTTTAATGTAGCTAAAGGGCTTAAAGCTTCAGACTTTTTTTCTGAAATGTTTGTAACCAATTAGAGCATAAAGTGTGCAAGAACTCATTTTACCAAGTAGTGGATCCCTCTCAGATATGAGGATAACTTAACAAAATCTTTTAGATTTTACACCCAGTAAGTAGCAGTTGCTACTGTACTGAATTTACGCTGAGGTAACTTCCATGCACTTGAGTCACAGCTGGTAAAAATGGGACACCAGCTTGGAACAAAAACTCATCAACATTTACAATAGTAATTTGATTTTTAAAAAAGGCAGGTGAATGAAAACAGTAATATGACACAGCCATAAAAATGTATACTAGTGGTTTAATTGGAGAGTGATTATTCAGATCTGAAAAAACAACCTCCATTTCGTTACTACAATCACAAGTACAATTCATGTAGCACACGTGACAATTATTTTATTGTCGGAGATAAGGGAGAAGTTGGTATACCAACAATTGTACTTATTTATTGCAAAGATAGTATTCCACCTGTAAAGGAAATGGCATTTTATTCACATAGCACACTTTTTAAATTCAAAATGTGGCGTTCTGTATGAAATGCTAATGGAAAAAACAGTGATCCCTGTCCACTAATAACTTAAGTTTTAAAAAAAACAGCCTTAATGTCTCTATAGAAATTGTATGTATTTCAGCTCTTAAATCACGTTAATCTATATAACCGTTATTAACAGCTGTGTGTCTATTACTGCATCAAGCCAAACATTTAAATGCACTTTCACATCAAAAGATTATTATATAAAGTTTATTTTCATTCCCCCTTCTGAAAGTTACTGACATTTCAGCGCTCGATTGGTTTATGACAAATAGAGGCCCATGCCATTTTCACATTGCGTGGCTGGGGTCATCCTGCCATGGTTGTTCATCCACTTCCCACCAGCACATGATCCCCAGGCAGTGGATGGCGCTCAGGAAGTGGCTCCC